AGCCCTCCTGAGGTCCAAGGTTTTGATCCTACTTATCGCCCTGCTTCCTCCACACAGGATCCTGAACTCCACCATTTCAAACATAAGTATATATGCACTTATGTTTATATTTTGTATGTATATGTATGCTTGCATTACTTAGGTAGCTACCTTAATATCAATAACTTCATATTCTGCATGGTATGGAATTTTTTCTTCAGATAACAATTATTTTTTCTTTCCTGTTTTGTCTTTACTTTTAGACCTGAACTTTTCAACTGGGAAAAAGTTATAAAGATGTCACCGGTTGAAAGACTGGAACATGCTTTCAGCATAGCCAAGAACCACTTGGGAATTGATAAACTGTTGGATTCTGAAGGTGGGATATCATTATTTTACTTGATTAGAAGTTTTTTTTGAGCTCTCTTGAACAAAATTCCTTCAATTGACATTTACGATGACTACAAATTCCAGCATTTTTGTGCAGTGATATTTTGTTTCAAGCCCTTAAATTTGGGTTTAAAGGAATGTAATTTGTAGGGTAATGGTATGTCTGTGCATGTATATGCTTTGGTTTCTTGAATGTTAAGGTTCAGATTGACTTACCATTCAGAGACAGTATAGAGAAGGTGAAGTTGGTACCCTGGCTTTGATTTATTTTAGATAGGAGTTCTACCCACAGGGGTGTTTGGTTTTCAGAATAAGCATAGCATTATGTAGAATGGGATAGCTTAAGAGCTTGTGATCTTTTGTTCTTTATATATACACTGTGCAGCAGTAGCTGCCAGTTCTGTGAGTACTTAGCAGGTAGGAATGTTTACCAGGAAACTTTTATGGCTCCTTCTTAGAATCCTGAGCTGTCGCTCTGCTTTGAAGTGAACCTCCAAAGATTCATTCTGTAAGACAAGACAAGCTTTCAAACTTTAAAGATTCAAGCACTATCTTCTTAAAAAAAAAAACAAAAAACACATTAACTGAATGGATAGCACTCATAAACTAAGACACCAGTGAACCTGAGTCAGTGAAACTCTTCTCCATATGAAAAGTAAGAAAATGAACTGGCCAATGCTGGAAGTTGGGATAAAGCCTAAGTGGAATTGTTTGTTTATACGGGATACTCTCCCTGAACTGCAATTCTGCTTGGGAGATGCTCCAGAAGAATCTTTCCCAAAGAGTTTTTATTCCTTTTATTCAGGTTTGGGCTCTTTGAAAAGATCATACCTTTTAATGTGAATTCACTTCCAAATGCAGATTTATTTTTAAACATTTTTTTTCTCCTTCATACTTCTTTGAACATATGTCAAACCTGGCCTTTTAACTTAAAGCTTACCAAAGGCTACTTAACAGGAGAACCTGTGATTTACCCTATATGTAAACTCTTAACTGTATTCTAATTAATGATTTAGAAAAGCAACTCCTTCATTTATTTTTCCCTATGTTTTATGTCTTTGCAGATGTTGCTGTACAGCTTCCAGACAAAAAGTCTATTATTATGTATTTAACCTCTTTGTTTGAGGTCCTTCCTAAACAAGTCACTATGGAAGACATTCGGGAGGTGGATTTGTCATCAATGTCTGTCTGGCTTTTCTTGAGGTTTTTTTTTATCTGATGTTCAGGCTTGTCCGTTATCTCTGGAAGATGCCTTCTATCTTGGGCAACACAACTGGGAAAATATGAAAAATCATAGCATCTTCTTTGTAATTGACTTCAGTCATTCTGTCTTCCTTTTTCTTCTTTTCTGATTCATATACAAAAGCTTGTGTGCTGAGGTTTAAAGTTCCATCTGTGTTATGCTTCTTTCCTCTGCTTCTCTTTCTCATTTGTCTTGGCAAGCTAGAGAGGGTGGCCCAAAATCTTTAACTAAGTTTGCTGCAGGACTTGTGGTGGTAGTGATGGGTTTTTGTTTGAATGTGAGATTCACTGTTAGATGAGCAAGATTGAAGTTGTCTTTTCTGTCTAGGTTCTTCATTTTAGAATGGATGTTCATTAGTGGTGACTGTGGCCCTTATTAAAATGTACCCAATTGCTATTTTAAAGATTTCACGAAGGATTAAAAAGGATCTTGGTTGTTCTGTCATTAGGGAAGGCATCTTCTGTACACTTCTAAGACATCACTTCTCTCTTGGCTGCCTAGGCTGTAGCACTTGAAGAGGAGCAGGGCAGTTCTAGAGCAGAGACTCCCAGCACAGTTACAGAGGTGGATATGGACTTGGATAGCTACCAGGTTGCTCTGGAAGAAGTTCTTACATGGTTGCTGTCAGCTGAGGATGCATTTCGGGAACAGGAGGAAATATCTGGTGACGTTGAGGAAGTCAAAGAACAATTTTCCACCCATGAAGTAAGCTTCTCTTGAAAATTCATTCTCTGTTGTGTGTTTTTGTGTGTGTGTGTGTAAGCTGCAGAACTTCCATTTCCTAGTTCTTATCCAAAACCTGCCATTCTGTTTCTTTCTCTTGTTTTTTCTACATTAAAAGCACCTCTAAATGAATGTGATGTGTGGGGTTTTTTTGTTGTTGATGAGGAATATTAGCTTCTTGAAGGTGAAATAGATCTTTTTAGGAGAACTTGCAGTGGAATGCGCTTTGAAACTTTAACACATTTTTTTTAATCAGCTTTCAGTGACTGGCTCACTGGTGTCTGTAATACAAAGGCAGTCTGATCCAGGCTCATTTGTGCTTCTCTGCTGCCAGCTACTAAAAAGCCTGGTCAGCCTTATGTCACTTGCTGTTAAATGAGGGTAATGCTGAAATTGTTAATCATGTCAATTTAATTCAGTGGTGTGCCTGTCATGATTAGCATAGTTTATTTCAGAAATGTGTTGTTGCTTCAAAATTATTGTTGTTTCCAAATTATTTTAATTCTGTTCCAAGTCTGGACAAATGTTCTAATGTTGCTAAAAGTTTCAAGTGTCAAATTAGATGTTTTAATTTTCTCCTGCATCAGCTGACTGTATATGTTTGAATTTAAAATTTAAATTCTGATCAATATGGAGAGATTTTTTTCCTTGTGCTGCAGTTTTAAACTGTGAATCAAAGGAAGAGGTGTTCTGGATTTATAGTAGATATGTGGGGTTTTTTTGTTATTAACTCAGAGGGTTCTATTTACTTACTGTGATACATTTTGGATGTTGTTTTGTATTCTGTTGGCCATAGCTAAGTTTCTGTTTTATTTTCTTGGCGCATTTGTTCAAAGGCGGTCTTCATGCACACAGCTGCTTCTCTGAGGTGGTCAGCTTTTTTTCCTCAGTTGAGTCTATTTTACTGGCTCCAGAATTTTTGTAGCTCATGGAGAAACTTCTGTCATGTAGACAAACAGGTCTGCCATGCTTGTGTGGTGTTTGATGGTGCCAGCTCATTCTGCAGCACTGTTTCAAACATGACATTTTATTAGGACACCTACAAATTCATAAACTCCTGTAGGAGCTTACAGATTACAGTGACTTGGCTGGTTGTACCATTTCCAGGGTTTTATGATGGAACTGACTGCGCACCAGAGCAGTGTGGGCAGTGTTCTGCAGGCTGGAAACCAACTGGTGGCCCAGGGAAATCTGTCACCTGAAGAGGAGTTTGAGATCCAGGAGCAAATGCTGCTGCTGAACTCCCGCTGGGAAGAGCTGAGGGTGGAGAGCATGGACAGGCAGTCCCGGTGAGTGATGGCCGACAACCTCTGCTAGAGCTGCAGGACCGACCTCTGGTGTTTACTGCAACTCGGAGGAGTTGGTTTGCATCCATTTGTAAGAATTACTTTTTTTGTGCAACTAACTCTTCAGTTTGTGACATGAAATCCACCTTCTTCGAACTTTCCAAGGTGAACCAAAAGAAGTGAATATAACTGGGCAGTTTTGGATTCTTATATAGCAGTATTTTGTGACGTGATCTAATTGTGCCAGGCTAACTATAAGGTATTTATATGCAGTAGTTACATAAGTTACACGAATGTGTTTTCAGTATTTTTTCAGTAGTTAAAGTTCCTCAATAAAGCATACAGTAGATGTGGATAGCTATGTGTGTTTATACAACCAAAAAGCACTTAGAAAATTTTTTTTCCTGTCGGTGGGTTATCAAGGTAAGAGCTCCACATCAAGGGAGAAACTGCATTTTGTTGCAACTCTTGCCAAAGGCTTTATTAGTGGCAAATCCCTGTTGCAAGAAACAATCCCTGATATAGATTGCATAATTCACAAACTTTGTTTTGTTGAGAAACAATCAAGGATGCTTAACTCTGTTCCTTAGCTTAATGGTGAAAATTTTATTTGATGATTGCTAACTGGTTTGTGAATGGCCTTACTTCTTTCTTATAGGAACTAGGACTTACTCTTTTGCTTTGGGAAAACTGTTTCTGAAATCACTCTGCCTGTGCTTCCCCCTGCAGCCTGCACGACATGCTGATGGAGCTGCAGAAGCAGCAGTTGCAGCAGCTATCCGACTGGCTGACGGTCACAGAAGAACGCATTCAGAAGATGGAATCTCAGCTCTTAGCGGAAGATTTGGAGTCCCTTCAGAAACAGCTGGAAGAACATAAAGTAAACCTTTTTGCCTGTTATACTCTATACGTATCGGAGAAGGGTTTGGAAGATATGTATGTTGTGTGGGTTCCGTAGCAGAGAAACTCGATTGTACCAGAAGTCATCTATGGCTGTATGCTGAGGGGCTGCATCTGATGTTTGGAAAAGGATGATGATCCGGTAGAAAGGAATTGGAAGTTTCTGAAAGTGCTTTCTTAACTGAACACTTGAGCACTGATGACTATAGCAGAAACTGTTATCTTCGCTTGATGCAGGGAGCAAAACCTGTGGGGGAAATTGTGTTACCCTCACTTCGCCCAGGAAATGAGGCCTCTCCAGGTAAATTGTTTGTGTGAGGGACAGTATGAAATGTACCATGGACAAACTTGCCTTTAATGACTGGCAGGCATTGCTAAAACATGCTTGCAACTTGCAGGTGAAATAATGTAGGAGTTAAAACTATCAGGAAGGGTGTCCCACAACACTGATTGCTTTTACAGGGATCCCATCCTAAGGAGGTGCATAGTCACTGCTCTCTGATGTGCACAACATTTTGGAAGTGGTTTGTCTCTCAATTAATTTTCTGGATGGGAGTCTAGCCTTTTTAGCCTGCAGTGTTTTTTTGAAGGAAAAAGAAGGCCTTTTGATACTTGTCATGATTGCTGCTTTGGTTTTCATACTCAGTGCTGAGGTTTGACCTTCTCCCCAGTGTGGGACACACCTCACAGGGCAAGAACTGTGGACTATTTTTAGTCTGTGTAATTTCCTGTTCCACGTTTGCATTTTTTCCTCTGTCTTGAAAGTCTGGGGAGTTTGAGGCATGCTGTTCATGTAGTAGCTTAGGATATTCTGGGATGAAAAGTGATATTTACAGTACTGTAAAGGCATATTGATCTTGCAGATATATTTTGGAGGTAGGCTTTAACCATGGAATCTGTTCTTCTAGAAGCTGTATGAGTATTTATATCTACAGATTATTTTAAAGTAATTGGAACTGTATGCTTTCTGCCATTTTCGACTCTTGTCTTTGAACATGATGATCAATTATAACACTGCTGATACAAGAATTATATTGTCAACTAGTAAAAACCAAATGTTCTTAGTGATTTTTCCCCATTTGGCATACCCTATGATACTTGCTTATTAACAATAATAGCTTGTTATAGAAACACCTAAGCTCTCCTAGCTATAAAACTAGACATATAGAAAGTCAATACAGTTGTCATATGATTCTCCTAGTCAAGTATGGTGCATACAGCTTAAAACACTCCTGTTATCAGTGTTCATCCTGCATGTTTTCCAGTATTTTAGCAGAATGTTTTTGGGTTCATTTCTAGCAGTCTTTTGCTTACATTTGTTTAAACTCTGCGAGATTCCCAGTGGTAAATTCTGTGCTTAACTGTTGAATATGAAGTACTTTGTCACAACAGTTGTGTTAGTCACTGTGGCCAAAATAGCAGATTAGCAATTGTGTTCAAAGTTGGTAACCTCTCTTTTGTTCTCCTAGAGCCTGCAGAATGACCTAGAGACAGAACAGGTGAAGGTAAACTGCCTAACGCACATGGTGGTCATTGTTGATGAAAGCAGTGGGGAAAATGCAACAGCTATTCTTGAGGAACAATTGCAGGTAAAATGTTCGAGCCCTCTTTTTTTAACTGTAGTACCAGGCAGTTAAATCTTTGCATATAATTGTTAACCAACACTTCTGTTTTTAAAGAAAGTTTATCCTCGAAAGTAATTTAAAGTAATATTTTTTTTTTTTAGAAGTAGCAGTGACATAAAGAATGATTAAATTTGGTCAGGGAAAAACCTGAAAAAGTGCTTTGACTTTCAAACTTGATTCCTGATGAGTCAAGCTGTTCACATTCCCAGTGATTTAGGCACTTTTGTAATGTATACTTTCAGCAGTTTCATTAAAATGGGAAAATACACAATACAATTCTTATTTCTCGTAAGTAATTTACATTAGGAAGTTAAAATCTGATGGGAAAATTTTTAGACAGGAGAACAATTTGTCTAGGGAATATCGGTTTTGTTGGAAGTTAGACTGTAACCTGAAGTATAGGGAGTGTGAAACAGAATTTATTGAAGCAGAATTCATGCTACTTTATTCACTCCTTTTGAAGTCAATCAGATAGCTCACCGACTTTACCAAGAGCAGAGATAAGGCCATAGGTGAATGCTCTGGAAAGTTTTAACCTCCAGCTTTGTGTAATACCACAAAGGTGATTACTGGCAAGGAGGAAGGTGTAATGCGGAAAGAGGTTATTGTGAAGTAGAAATTATGCTCTCGAATATCTGATTTTTTTGAGTTTCCTTGAAGAGCGTGAAAGTTCATGACTGTTTCTTGCTTTTGTAGAGGCTTGGTGAGCGGTGGACAGCAGTTTGTCGTTGGACTGAGGAACGACGGGTCAAGTTGCAAGAAATTCAGCTTTTATGGCAGGAGCTGCTGGAAGAGCAGGTAGTAGCTCTTCAGTTACCCAGAATGACTGATTGATTTGTGGAGAGGAAAAAAAACAAACAAAAAAGCACCAAACCTCTTATTAGGGTTTAATAGCTCTCAGAAAAAAGCCTTGAAAAACTAGATTTTATGTTATTGTTTGGTTTCCCAGCGTTTCTTGAGGAGTAGAGTAGCTGTGCAGTGCAAGAGAAGTATTTTCCAAAGTTTAAGTAAGAAAGTTTTATGATTCTTTGTAATATAATTTGCAAGGTAGTTTGCAAAATGGCCAAGAAGTGGGAATATCCGTGATAGCAAAATGACAATGAATCACTAAGTATTTGGTGGCTTGGAAATTACAGAAATTTTTCTAAGTAAGGTACGTACATGTGCTTCCACTTTGCATATATGTACACAATTGTGCAATCAACTAATCCATACTGTTTTCAAAATCAGGAACATAAAACATCTGGTCAATGTAGCAAAGCGTGCAGCTCATCTCATTTCTCTGAGTTTAGGCAAACAGTTGAATTGTGAAGAAGATGGCATTGTGAGTTTTTTCTTGCTTTCATATTACGCATTTTATGTATATATTAAATATACTGATAAAACACAAATTATCTGATGGCATAAAAAAATGCAGTAACACAACTACATGTCTTAGGTTTGCATGCCTAGTGTTAGAGCTTGTTTTGTGTCTCAGCTTAAAATATTTGATCGCTTTTCCCATGAAGGTTTTATTTAAATTGTTTTGTTTTCTTAAATGATGATATTTATTACTGTAAGCTGTTGTTTAAACTCTGCAGTACACACAGATTGTTTAGATATTTGAAAGAACAACAGCAGTGCTAATATAGCTGTTGCTGTCAAGGTACAGCCTGGTCTCTTTGACAGGGATGTTTTGTCTGCATTTTTTGGGGTTGCATATCTGGTTCTCCCTGACCCTTCCCATATCTATTTGCATTATATTGATAAGCTGAAGTTGCAGCTCAAGTGACTTTGTTGTTAATATGGACCTAAGGTTCAGAATCTGGTTTATCCAGTGCCAAGCACCTATTTATATATATTACTTTAAAATACTGTGTTGGTATATGTGTACATGCACACAGAAAATTGTGTGCTAACATTTTCTGGCATCTCTGGGGCAAGAGAAGTCTCTAGCTGAGAAATAAGGATTCCTCAAAAATCCTTGCTCTGTTTGTCAGGGTACAGGCTTAAAGTGCCCTCTGTTTTGATGATGCTATATGAATGTGTTTTCAGTTCTGTTCCTGCCTTGTATTTGTCTGGAGAGAAGTGACCACTCATGGACTATTATAATACTGTGAAGAGTGTTGTCTTCTGTTGGAGTTGCTTTGTGTGCAGCTTTTTTTAATTTGTATGTAATTATGTTGCTCTGTAGAAGTGAAAAAAAATAATCTGTGTTATACTAATGTAGAATGTCAGCTAGATGAGGAAATTAAAGTTTATTTTAGATCAGTCTATGCTTGCATTCATTGTTCAGCTCTGAACAACGCATCTATTACTAACAGGTTTCAATTATAGTTCTCTGTCCTGAAGAATTATCAAGTGACCTACAAAAATTACAATTACAACTAATTAAAAACTTTAATACAAACACTTTGTTAACACAAAGGAAACTAAAACATTTAGGTACTATGATTTTCCGTTTGCCCAACCAGATGGAAAGATGAGCAGCAGTGATGCATCAGCCTTTTTGTGACTGCCTAGAAAATCTTTGGAAACCACATTGCCAAGTCAACACAATTCTTACCACTCAGGAAACAAATTTCTCAATCAGTGCCAGATATTTCTTAGCACTGTGATAAATATGTTTCAGTTTTCTAGGGTGAGTTTGCGAATGTAGCAGAAATTAATTGAATACATTGAAGGGATTTTAGGCTTCTCTTGTGCATAAAATATATTGGCAGGGATGCTAGCATGATTTTTTTTCAGAGAGTATGTGGTGTTATAATTTTGTTTTTCACAGCCTTATGGCATTTCCACCACCATCGTATTTGCTGTCTGTACATTTTGAATATTGGTTTACATTGGCAATATAAACTACCTTAACCCTTTGGCCCAAAAGTTGCGGTAGTTAGTGCCAAAACTATACGGCTAGACAGAGGAGCCTTCTGGCTGTTGTAAAGTGTGGTGTTCAAAGAACAAAAAGGTGTGCCTTGCTGTGTTTTTTGTTTTTTTTTTTTTCCCAAGACAGTGGAGTAGCAGTGTGCCAGTGGCTATGCAACTGAGGTTGATGGAAAGCTGGGTATTCTAGTCTATGGAGATAGCTGTGCAGCAGCAGCAATACGTTGCAACGTAATATAGAATGTATAAAATCCTTCCTGGTACTTGATGCCAGTTATTGCTGGAGTTTCCATAAGAGTGCTGTGTGACTGAAGAAGAAGCGAGACCCAGAAGAGGTTTGCTAGAAAAATGTGGAAAAAGTTCAAGATCCCTGAGTTACTACTATCCAGAGCAGACCACTCCAGTTTTTAGCAGTCAATGAGATAGTATTTGCTGAAGTTATTTTGCAATTGGACAGGGAGGTGACTAAATAATATCTGAGTCTTTGACTGACTACCTGGACTGAAAGAGCTCTGAATTATCAGTGGTGTAGCTTGTGTGAGAAAATGTTTATAATGGCTGGTTTTGAATCACAGAGGAAGAAGAATGGAGCACGAAAGAAAGAATACACACCATTTTGATAAATTTAATTCTAATACAATTTATAATTCCTAGATCAGTTTTATGGTGGATATCTGGTTTCTATAAATAACTTTGGGGGTGTGTGTGCTCTAATATATTGAGAAATGGTTTTGTTGAAATTGTTTTGCTAGAAAGTATTACTTGGTTCTCTGATCTGATATTTTTTGTCCCCTTTTATGTATTGTTTTTGTTAATGCCAACTGAAATTCCTGCATATAAAGACTGTAGAACTGTGCTTTGAATGCAAAGATCTTAAGGAATTGTCAATGCTGTTTGACAAACTTGGTATTTTCTCGTGCTATTTTTCTTTGTCTGCAGTGCTTATTGAAAGCTTGGTTAACTGAGAAAGAAGAGGCTTTGAGTAAGGTCCAGACAAGCAACTTCAAAGATCAGACAGACCTGAGTGTGAATGTTCGAAAACTAGCAGTGAGTATTGCTATCCTGCTCTATCCTGTCAAGTCTCACACACTAAATGAATGGCAAATTGCCACTTTGACCCCAGTAGGAGCTGTGAATGCATGATATTTTGGAAGCCAGGCCAATATCCTTTTCTTGCCAGATTCTTTCACTTGTATGTAAAAAATGTTTACAACTTACTCCATGGCCATTCCAGGTTGGTTTGCTGAACTTTGGAACAGCTATCCTGGGTTTTTGGCAGGATTTGGAGTTTATTGCAGGCCACCAGGCAGCTGTGTTCTCCAAAGTGTTGGTTTGTGTTTTTGGTGGTGGTTCTTTTTTTTTTTTTTAATGAATTGATGCAGCTGGTACCTGAGCTAATCAGTTGTAACTGTTACTCAAGAGATACTGCTGATTGCTCTAGGAGCTGTTTCAGGGATATGCTCTTTTTAAGAGTGTCTGTTTGTGCTTTGTTTCAAAAGAGAACTATTTTGAAACCTATGATGCATCTGGCTCAAGTAGTACATTTCCACCCCCCACCCCCATGGAGTTAAAAGCTAAGGAGTGGCAGAATACCTGATGTTGTCTTTTAATGTTTTAACTTCAGATTTTGAAAGAGGACATGGGTATGAAACGGCAAACACTAGACCAGCTGAATGAGCTAGGTCAGGATGTGGCCCAAATTCTTGGAAATGGCAGAGCATCCAGTAAAATAGATCAGGATCAAGAAGAACTAACTCAAAGGTGGGACGGTTTGGTTCAGAAGCTGGAGGATTACTCTAACCAGGTATTTAACAAGGCTTTATTACTTTTTAGCTGTTTAGATATCTGTATGTATGCAAATCTCACTGATACTGTCAGCAAAATTGCCCAGGCGAGTTCTTGGCATCAGGCTAGAAAGGTAGGTGAGCGCACTTTCACGTGGGGCTGACTTTATCTGCTGACAAAGCTATCTGCATTTTTTCATCTTCAAAACCCCAAGTTGCTAACCTGACTAGTACTATCACTCCTTTCTCACACAGATTAAGCTTCATTTTTCTGATGAGTAAAGCAGGCTTGCCATGTATTATCAATCAATGCAAATTCCTTTAAACATTGTAAGAGTGCTGGGACTGGATTAAATCTGATACTAAAAGAAAACAAAGACAAAACCCAAAACCCAGAATAGATAAATAAATGGGAGTCATACAAGCATTTATGCTCTGTGAGTATGATTTCTCATCTGTTGAAAATAGAGTAGTTGTTTGTTTGATATGTAACGATAACAGCCAAGCTGGATTGTTAAATGTTTATTTTAGTATTTTAAGTGCTTGGTAATACGTTTATTTAGACAGAACTTCCATTGGCTTCTGTGAGAATTCTGTTTGACAGTTTTATGACTCATACATCCCTTTTTTGTGATATTAAAAAGTTATTGTGATGAAGGCTGTGGCACTGATTCACAATTAATTTAGTGTATAGTGAATGAGTTCTGCAGGCTTAGTAGGGGTCCATTTAAGCCATGTGGCTTTAATTTGTTCTTGTGTTTGAGTCAAAGTACTGGAGAGTACCAAATTCTGTCTTCATCCTTTCATTCCCTCTAAAAATCAAGCACATACTTAGAACTTCCAGGTTGATTCCCATGGGATTTACTTTATAACATGTTAAAGAATGTGGAAGACTTCTATTGACTTAAGTGAGTTTTTGGGTCAAATCCACTGTGTATGAGCTCTTTCTGAGATCTAGGTTTGGCTTTACAGAGTATGAGTATAAAATACAGAATTGTGTGTTAATAAACCCAAAGGACCTTGATTCTTTCTGTGAACCAAGCAATTATGAAAGAAAATAGATATAGTGCTTGTTTTGTTGATTTTAGTTCACTTGGACTGACATGAAATTCTAGCTGAACTGAGAATTTTGATGCTTGGTTCCCATCAGTAAAATGAGAGTAATGAAGTTTTTTTGTGCAGTGCATCTGTGCTGAAGGTGCTTTATGACAGCTAGGTGTGGTCGTTTGTAGGAGTGAATGAATGCACTTTTGATTGATGAATAAAAGGAACTAAGCAAAAGCAATTCAGTTCGTGTTAAAAATGGCATTTAACCCTTTTGCGAAACTGTTTCATATAGGTTACTCAAGCTGTAGGAAGCGTAGGGATGTCGCAGGTTTCACAGAAGACTGCTGCAGCAACAATGCCATTGAAGGAACAAGTAGTGGTTAAAGTATCCAGACAAGAGCTGCCCCCACCACCACCCCCAAAGAAAAGGCAAATGCCAGGGGACAATGAAGCAAAGAAAAAGTAAGTATATGTCACTGCCGTTTTCCCTTGCTCTCTAGATACTGCACAGACTCGTGTCTCTTGGTCTCGGCTTTTGATTCTTCTTTTATGCAAGTGAGGAATACTTAAGTTGTGGTTGTGACGTTGGGTATGGGGAACGGGAAGGGAATGTTATGTACAGCCTTGTTTTCAGAGCAAGAGAAAGCCTGCAGCTTCCACTAATTGCACAGGGAAACAGGGGTGTTTTGTTTCACAAAAAGCAGGTCTTCAGTCCTCTTTACCTCAGCTCCTTTGCTGAAAGATAGAATTAATTATATTTCCTTTCTTTTAGAAAAACATAATTCTCATCTTTGGTTGAAAAGTGTTGTGAAGAGTGCCAAGTATTTTAACTTATTATTTATTTCTAAAGTCCATAAAATATACTGTACAAAAAAAGGCTCAGAAACCTATTCCATCTCCCTGGTATTTAGTAATAAGAACAGTATTACAATGATGTCTCCTTTCACAAGTATATCTGGAGAGGCAGACTGGTTTGCATGTATACACTCCTAGAATGGTTTGGGTTGGAAGTAACCTTAAAGATCACTTAATTCCACCCCCACTGCCATGGGCAGGGACACCTTCCACTAGAGCCGAGTGCTTAAAGCCCCATCCAGCCTGGCCTTCTACGCTGCCAGGGAGGGGGCAGCCACAGCTTCTCTGGGCAACCTCTGCCAGTACCTCACCGCCCTCAGAATAAAGAATTTCTTGTTGATATCTAATCTAAATCTACCCTCGTTCAGTTTAAAACTTACCCCTTGTCCTATCGCTACACGCTGTGATAAATAGTCCCTCCCCATCTTCCCTGTAGCCCCCATTTAAATACTGGAAGGCTGCTGTAAGGTGTCCCCAGAGCCTTCTCTTGTCTATGATAAACAATGTTTCATAATGTGTTGCAGAGCGTTTATTAAATAGCGTACCTAAAACTAAAGAAATTGTTTCAAGACAAATTAGGAAAGTAAAGGCTATGTACTCATCATTTTGGTTTTTGTGCTTGCCTGAGAAAATAAGCATTTCTTTGAGGTGTCGCCAGTTTAAACCTGTGGCAGGTCATTTAGGGCAAGGATGGAGGGCTGCCTTAAGAGCAGGGAGCCGCTGTGCTAGTTGATGTGTTTGCACAGCGAAGAAGAGTTGTTCTCTTCATTTTTCTGGAGGAGGAATGGAGCTTTGAAGGGGTGAGGAATCTGCCTAAACCCTCTTGAGGACCCTGGTCAGACCCTCCAAGCCCACCTCTCCATTTTCTCCATGTGTCTGATGAGTCATAGAAACTATTTTAGACTTTGAAAGCAGAACTGATTTGATATGTTATCTTTCCTCCTAGAGTTCGAACTGTATTAAGACAGGGTCAGTTATAACAGACTAGACTTTCTGATGGTTACTTCTGTTGAAACCAACAAATGATCGTAACTAGAATTTTGCAGGTTTTCACATGAAAACTTTGAGTGACTAACAGTGACTTCTGCATTTGTTGGTAGGCTGTTATTCCATGTTAGGATTTACACTGTATTAAGTAGTATAACTGTAATGTGGCCTGACTTGTGGTCTGTGCAACATATCTGTCCTTCTCTCAAGTTCTGTACAGATATTGTTTAGTTTGGGAGATGGATTTTTTGTTTGTTTATTTTTGTGTGGTGGTGGGTTGTAGCTTAGAGGTTTTAGGCATAAGAAAGTTACGTTAGTATAGACATGTCCACTGTAGCGAAAAATATTAAGTTATAAGCTAATCTTTAATCAGCTAAGCGTTCAAAAAGATTTGTCCACTGTCACTTCCATGAGTGCTTAAACTGCTAGCTTTTTCTTCAGACTAATTAGTGTTGCAGACTTATGAAATCTAGAACTGTAATTCTTATTTGCCTTGTTCCTCAGGTTTAGTTTATTTCTTTGCAAATACTCGACATTGGGAGATATCTTCCGTGACATATTAAAAGAAGTGGTAATAGTTTGCATGGAGACATGTATAAAAATAAATTGCACCATGCATTCTCAGTTTGCTCCCAAAGGCTAATACCATGGACATAATTTTTACTATGGCAGTTTTTTGAAAGTTTGTCTCTGTTCAACTGCCTATGAGTAGTAATATGAGAAGCATGACTCTTGTGTGCAGCCTTGCTGTTTTGGGATTGAATAATGTGCTGAACTTTAAGACAGAGTGTCTGAATGGGGAAAAACGACAAAAAAATATTGAACTTTTAAACCAGGTTTGATGCTGAAAGTGCTGAGCTCTTGAACTGGATTTCGAAATCAAAATCTGCCATTCAGGCCACGGACATCAAAGAGTACAAGAAGATGAGAGAGACTTCAAACATGAAAGAAAAGTTGAAGGTAAAACGGGGTGATAGAGAGTGTTCCAGTGAATAGTATATTTTGTCTCTAAGCTGGTTGTCAGCTGGAGGTGCAGGCTGATCCACATGCTTAATGGGGATTAAGTCCTTTAGTTGAATAGTTTCAGAAATGGACATACATGGAAATCTCTGACCAGCTGGACACAAATCTTTGCTGGTGTTGGATTGCGCAGTCCACAGGAAATTTAAAATAATTATATTACTGATGTCTCCTTTGGAGTTCTGGTAAATGTCTGTCTTCAGGATTAGTGTCTGTGCCACTAAGCAGCATATTTTGACTTCATGTTTCGTAGTTGAAAATAGACCTCATTGACACAACTTTTATGATTTTTGACAGAGGTGGTTCAGTGGGCTGTTTGGAGACCCCTAGAGTTGTGTTGTGACACTGCACACACTATACCATTCAGGGTCCAAACTGGTTCGTTGTTATAATATTTGCACATGTTGTTGTTTGTTTTATTAATTTTGGAGAAAACATGATAGTTACAACTCTTGTACAATATTACTGACCTGCATGACACACATGAATTTTTACAGGATCTTGTGGGAGCCATGAAATAGCCATTTTATCTTCTAGTCCTTCTGTTTCAGGAACGTATCCTTGCCTTTTTTGGTCCTTGGGCATGCTTTGTTAATGAAGGCTTACTGAAGCTTTAGCAGGACCTGAACCTGCTTTTGAAATCAAAGACAATACTTAAAAAATCTATGAAGAGACTCCTTTTCAGTGCCATAGTGCAAAATGGTGCCAGTAGGAATGTTTGGAATGGCAGTAGTGTTGGAAATCAAACCCAAAATAACCCTCCTAATAGTTTATTTATAGATCTTTATGAATGTTTGTAGCCCTTTATAAAATAGACTCCAAGAAGAACACCAGGTTCCCATGAACAGCACTGTTTTCAAAATTGGGCTTTTAAATGGGTAGGACAGTGTTTGTTCTCCCCAACTCTGTAAATAAATGCATGCTTCTCAATTTACTATGGCAAGCCTGAACCAGAGCAATGTCCTTGGACATTAGTTTCAAAAATATTTTAATTTGGAGATGCTTTGTTTTAATTACAGAGGATATTGAAGCTGTGCCCTTGTGGCCAAAGAGCTCATCTTTACTCTATGGGTGTATTCTACCTCTTGGCTCACACAGGAACACGTACCAGTATGTATGACTTGAGGGAGGAGCTTGTTCCTCTAAAAGTCTTGGTAGTTGCACAGCATTTCCTTCACCATTTCTTTACGAAAGAGAGTGAAGCGCTTGAGTTTTTGAGAGTGGGCTACTAGCATGCTGTAGTTCTTGTTCTCTGGACTTCTAGCGAACAGGTTGTTATTCCCTTCTACTGGACATCTCAGTATAGACTGTAGAGGCAAAAGGACTATTTAAATAAGGTATTTTCTTCACTGGTTCACGTTAAATAATTAAAATTTTTGATCACAAGTGACCTGTTTTAGCTGGTGTCCCAATATCTGATTTCAGATAGCAAGATCATCAAGCCTTTTAATAATACTTTATTGCTGGTGTTGTTGAATTAGTCTCTTGCTTGCCTGATACTTGTGACAGCTAACTCCCTTTTCTGAACAAACAGAGCTAACACTCATTCTAGAAGGTGCTTTATCCAAGAAAATGGGAATGTGTTTTGGGTAGTAGTGGGAAAATACACATTACCGGGAGGGGATGGGGGCGTGGGATGTGTGTGTCAAGAAAAATTGCCTTCTCTGAAACTGTATTCTTTTGGGGTTCACTTCATAGGTGATTGAAAAAGAAAGAGTTGAAAAAAGCCGAAAGTTAGATGAACTGAAGCGAAATGGACATATTCTTTTGGATCAAATGGGAAAGGGTAAGCAACTTGAAGTTTTTACTGTTGTGTGATTTAATCAGATGAGTTGCTGGGAAATAGTACTGAAATACACTATCTCCAGTTAACCATCGTGATATATTCCTTCCCTCTCTCTCAACTTTCTCTCAGCCACAGACACTGGTCATTGTTACTGTTACTAGTTATTGATATGTGTTTTATTTTTATTAAGCTTATAGAAAAGCAATATAAATATTCTTTGTTTAATGTGTGCGTTCATTTGCAACCTTTTAAGGGTTATCTTTATTGCAATAGAAATAATTTCTTATAATGGCAGTAACATGCTTCTGGGGAAGGAGTTGATTTAATTTTAAATTGTGTGGAGGGCTGAAGTATAAAATTTTAAAATATAACTGCCTTGAAGTGGAAATTTTGAAACCAAATTTAAACTGGATAAATGTGTATCTTTTTTTATTTGTAGTTTTCTCTATTTTTATAAAAACTGACAGTATGTTTTGATGATAGTCACAATTTATGGCTCAAAGGCAAGAGAGATGCCTACGTGCTTGAGAAGATGATTGATTGTCAATTAAAACACTCATCCCTGGAAACTTACAGTTAACATCAGTGAGAGTTAAATCTTTAAGCCTTGCCAAAATCTTGTTTCATCATATGACAAAACTTCATCAGTGAAATTTGACTTTCTCTGTAAAAGAGCTATTCATACCATCCAGAGACAGTCTCTTGGATCTGATATGCACTTGGCTTCTGGTGAAGTTGCTATGACTGGTAGCATTTGAACAGGTGAATGGATGGTATCACAGTCCTGCATACTGACCAGCATCCCTTTTGGAGAGTGCTGATTTCCACTGGATTCCCCAACTGCCACATTTTTTTCCAGCCAGCCCCTTTGCCTGGGTGCCCCAGTCTGCTACGCATCTCCAGTCCTCCCCTCCTTGCCTACTACAGCTGAAGCTTTTTACAATGGGTCCATTGCCCTGAAGCTGATGACTGAAAGCCACTGATTTGACCTGGAATTTGGGTTATAAAAATTTGTATCTTTTCCTTGTCTTCAAACCTGGACAGAAATCCTTTCTCCCTCCCTCTCTCTTTTATAAACCCCTCCAGCTCTGATAGATCATGGCTATGAAATCAGTATCTGTTGATAGTAAAGAGAAATGCATATTTCAAGAACTGCTTTGTATCAGCAAAAAATAAGATACAAAAATTGCTTCCCAACTGTTTGCTGTCTTAAAGCCTGGGAGCTATAGAAAATAATCAATCTATATATAGCTCCTGCATTTGTTAGGGTCTGCTAGGAAGTTTAGTCCAGCTCAAAGTGACAGCCCTTCTCTCTAAAACCAGGCCCAGCTACACCTGTACGGAACAATGCACGGCACTGGGACGCATGTGTATGCATCCATTTCTGTCTTGGCTGCCCTGACCATAGCTCTGGGCTCTGCTTATGCTAAGGCGGTGCAGCAAAAAAACCCTCCATGTGACCCTCCTCCTTATACTCCGATCTAAATGGCAGAACTGTTAAGTTCAAATGACCCAGATATGCCTTGTACGAGGATGGTGGTACCTTGAAAGAGAATCTACATCAGAAACTTGCAATGGCAATAATGTACTCTTGAATGCACATTGCACTGACATTTCTTCATATATAGCAAAATCATTGGTTACTTCTGGCATAGGAGGAAATAAAAGAACAAGGAATGGGTGGGTGGTCTGTTCACTTCTGCTGCTGCGTCCTCAAGTAACACGTTGACTTGTCAAAAGGATGGTGTAGCAAGTGCTTCATGTGGTCACTGTGAGTGGGAGAACCTCATGTTTTGTCACGTTGCTTTTGTAGCTATTCATATTACTAAGTTATTCATCATGTCTGCATGTAATGTGACATTGTTAGCCATTGCTCCCTCTCTCTCCCAGGCTGTTGGGATTTCCATCTATCTTTTCAACAAATTTATTGCTGCCTGCCAACTTGCTGATTACCTTTTTCTTTATGGAGTCTAGAATAAATAAAAAAAAAATCAATGGGTGCTTACTTAAATAAAGCTTATTTTACTTAGATCTACATATCAACATTTAGATACAGATCATGGTAGCAAAGAGAGTCATGATGGTTAAGAGTCAGATCGTTGTTGTAAGTTCAAAAGTTATTGAAGGGAAAGAATGGAAGTGGAATATCTCTGCATTTTACTATTAATGTGGAAATAAAAAGCTGAAACACTCTTAGTAATAAGTACAGTTTTATGGATAGTGGATTTGGAATCAAAGCATTTTGCATGTCAATGAAAATGTGTATGTGTATCTGAAGAGAGGAAAGGTTAAATGCCTGTTAATCAAAATGTGTTGCAGTTAATATAACAATTTATATAATCTTTTTAGAAGGGCTTTCTACAGTGGATATAAAGACTGTGATGGAGAAAATATTGTCAGGATGGAAAGATGTGGTTCAACATCTGGAAGAAGTGGCAATAAAGATAAAGTACCAGGAAGGTATAAATGCTTATTTTAAGGAAATGAGTGAGCTTGAGAAGACTGTAATTGAGAAGGATGCCTGGCTTAAAAATGACACTGCTTCAGCATCCCAGCCCTCAGCAGTCCTGAAAGATTTGTGTCAGGTAAGTCTGGTAAAACTTGTTAATTTTGATTGGAAGCTGTTAGGAGCCCAGAATACGCCAGAGGAGCTTAGTCTAGTCAGTAAAGTAACTGAAAACTTTGGAGGCATCCAAGGCACTTGATTTGACTGGAAGATTTTGGTACCTGTCACAGGAATACTTTAATGCTGTTGCTCTAGTCACGTGGAGGAGCTGTGCTGCAGTAGCTTATGAAGATCTTTGTGTTAACAAGGCAAGTGTGAGATTTTGTTTTGTTTTTAATCTTTGACAGCGGGAATTAACTCATCTTGCAAGCCTGAGTCCACGGTTGGAACACCTGAAAGCCACCTGCAAGATGCTCACTTCTCAGCCCATGCCTCCAAACTTCATTCAGGAGAGCTTGAATGGTTTTCTTGGTCGCTTCAAGTTGACTCATCAGAAACTAGAGGAACGTCACCAGCAGCTGAAGAAAGGTAAATATATATATACACACACACATTTTTTTAATGTAAGCACTCCTGATACTTGTGTTCTGACTTTTTTTTTTAATTGCTTTGAGCTGATTGAGAAATCACTGAATTGTGGTAGAGTTTTCCTACTGATTCTAGGAGGCTTTGGGTCCGGCTGACAAAATCTTTTTATTCACCTGGAAGAATATTTGTATGACCTCTTCTGTGCACACTACAAAATATATCATTCTGTTGTATTAAAAGTGATTATACAAGGATGCAACATTCCTGAAACTACACTTAAGGAATTAGCAAAACATATTTAAGGTTGTTAATAGAGTCTGAAAAGCTGTGTGTCTCTGGCACTTACAGAAATAAATAATAATACTAGAAATGGAAGCTGGAAGATTAAGAGAACCTTGTAAAATTGAAGTGCGCATGTGAAATTTATTTTTTTTTTCACAGCTTTGAGCACATTAGTCATACATAATTCCTTTTGGAAATTTCATCTTTGAAGTGATTTGGAATCTGGCATGCTTTTCAGGCACTTTCTACTTGGGTTTTTGTTGCATTAAAAATTTCATTATGAGCATTCAAACCAGTCATGCTGGCTTCTAAAGGATTTTAAATGTAGTGCACAAAATATGGAGCTCTGGTAGTATTTTACAGCTGAACAGCAAGAACACAGACCTATAAGGAGATTTTTGTTTTTTTCCTAAGTTTTCCTTTTCTTTCTAGGGAATTCAAGGAAGCATTGTGCTAAAGGCCTCAAGTGGAAGAATAAATTATTAGGCCATCTATATAATGTGTTGCATAAGGCCTACATACTTTGATTATGTCCATGCAGAAAACTGTATGAATAATGTATGTCTGCCATGCACAAATTACAGGGTATGATTTCATTCTTACTGTGAGGAATGATTATTTTATGACTGGTCTTAGCTCATGTACTTTTGAATAATTTTATTTGTATTATGTATTTTGGTAATGATTACATGATGTGACAAAAACACTCCGTATTTTTTCATGCCACACATCACTTGAGGCGTTATTAGTACATTTGAACCAGTTATTACTTGGTAAAAACACCTTATATATCATAATATGTTAAATTTGTATTTGTATATTTTTTGAATGATAATTTCTCTGCAGATGAAGTATTGCTAAAGAACAGAAGAAAATGTCAGTTCAGGGTTTCAGCTGTTTATTTACAGAAGAATTTTAATTGCAGTAAGGTAAAAGAGCTTCCAGAGCCATATAAGTGGGAGAAACAACTGGTGGTGGCTCTTCACCATTTGTGAACTTGGCAGGCTTTGACTAACAGAAGTCCAGCTCCTTTCAAGGCTCTTTTATGAGCCTCTGAAAATTCCCTGATGGAGTGGTACTCAGTCCCATCTCTATGGACCTTTTTTTATGAGAATTGTGGCTTAATTTTTTTGTCAATGAGAGGCTACTTAAACTACTTTCTTTTTCTTCAAGATTCACAGTAGTTTAGTAACAGTGCACCTATTTGCTTTTTACTGAATTCTTTTTTTTTTTTTTTTTTTTTTACCCCCTTTAAGTTGATCCTGGCTTTTTGAGAAGAGGAAGCTAGATAACTCTTCTCTCTAGAAATATTGACTCATTCTTTAGTTATAGATGGTGTGACAGTTCTGACAGTAAGCTGTTGAAAAACTACCAGGTGAGTCAGAACAAGGCTTAGATTAATTTTCACTTGTGGCAGTGACAAAATTGCTTAGGAATCCAAGGCCAGAGAATGTGCGTGCCGCATTACGGCTCTTACAACTGAAATCCTGTTCGCTGCAGTTTTCTAAATCTGATGTTTTCATTCTGAAACACCAGAGTGAGGTGCTGCCTCCTACCTGGGATTCTGTAGAGGGCTGCTTGAGCAAAATCTGAGATGCAGTCCAAGATTGCAAGCAGACACGCCATCCAAACTTCAGTTCTCTTTTCAGTCTTCCCAGACATTGTCTCTGGTATGGCAACAGCCTGAAAGCTGCTACTCTTATACATTTTTTTGTATGTGTATATAAAAATGAAAAAAAAGCCCCAAACCCTGCTACCACACTAATATATATTTTATGTATGTGTGTTTACATATAAAATACTAGCTTGTATATAGCTACTGCAGTGTGTATTTTAACTTTGTATGTAGTATATGGCTGTTATATATGCTGTACTTTGTATTCTATGTATAGTAGGTATCTGTGTGCTTGCATATAAATAGTAGCTCTGTCTAAAACTTTTTAAAATGAACAATAATAAATTGTAGGGATTTAGGCATGCAAAAGCCCAAGTACTATTGATTCCCCTGCCTCACCCACACCAAGATATTTAGGTGCTTAACTGTGTAAGAAAATTCTAAATATGGGATTGAGTTCTTCAATATCTTGGGGACTGTAAACATATATTTCTTATTATATTAAAAATAATACCTATTTATAGATTATGTATATTTAATGTTTGTTTAAAGGGAAAAGCATTGCCATCAGCAGAAGAGTTTTTTAGCTCTTGGAAGGTCTCAGCAGGATTCAATGTACAAGTATATCTCACACGATTTCTTGCTTCTAAATGATTCTGGTAACTTTGATTATGTTCACATCTCTCATAATTTGGGTCTCGTGTTTATTTCCTGACCTTGTATTTTGTGCCATTACTCTTTTTAAAAACACCAGAGGTGGAAAGCCAGCCAAGCCAGGACTACGTGGGCTCCCTGCAGCGGCTGAAGGACGCGCTGAGCGAGCTGGAGTGCAGGCAGCAGTCCCTCGCCAGCGGACTGAGTGACCCCAGTAAGGTTGAACAGGCCCTGCAGCAGGCGAAGGTAACGCTTCACCTTCACACCGAAGCGAGGAAGTTGCTTATTCAGCTGCTGTTCCCCTCCTCAGCCCTGCCTTGTGTTCGGTGGGGTGGCTAATGGGTTCCTTGGGGCGGGGGGGGGTGTTGGGAAGTCCATCAGTGAGCGCTGTGTGGAAGCGGCCTCTGCGGGCTGCTTGCTGAAAGCTGGGTCACCGCAGGCTGCTGCTGGGTGTGTCTTTTTTTTTGCGGGCTGCTGATGGATGTGTCCGGGCCGGCGCTGGGTGCCTCCGAGCCCACAGACTTCATGGCTCCTCTTGCTGTCCGTGCCAGCAGATGAGGCCAAGAGAGTGGGGACTGCTCGGCTGGGGGAGGAGGAGGCGGCTCTGAGGGGTTGTGTCAGAAGTGCTGCAGTGCCTCAGACCACCCTGATGGCCTCCCCAGGTGCTCTCCAGTGTACCAGTGTCTGTCTTGCGCTGAGGAGCCCCGAAATGGATGTCAGGGTTCTGGGAGTATCCCACTCCTAGGAGCTTGGTTGGATCAATTGGTGACCCGATCCAAGGTCCGCTCCTTTGCCACTGAACACAACTGTGAGGAAAGCCAGGAGCTGGGGTCTGCCCTTCCCTCCCTTGGGAGCTGCATTTCAGCTCTCCCTGCCTCAGCTGCCTGGCAGCTGTGGCAAAGCCTGGCCTGCTCGGGCTTTCTGTCCTGGGGAGGCCACCTCCCTCCCCTGGCAGCGCGGGCTCCCGGCGAGGCCATGGTGTGCAAGCTTGTGATCTTCTCCCTCAAGGACTGGGTAGAGCCGACCCAGAGGTGGGGTGCCTGCCTGCTTACACTGTCCCCGAGGTTCAGCTGGTCAGCAAATCCATCCCGTTTCATCCTGCTCGGCTCTTGTGGGAGGGTCCCTGTACTCCTCTGGCCTCCAGATTGCCTCTCAAAGGGAAACAGGGCTTGAAAACCGTAAAGGCAGTTGAAGCACAAATTCTGTCCAGTAGAAATGGCATTTCCTATTATGAGCCTAGAAAGCAGGGGAAAATCTATGGATGACAGTTGCTTTATAAGTATTGTTACAGAGTGAAGGGAGAGAATCATGCATATTCAGTACTTTTTTTTTCTTTCTTTCTTTCTTTAAAAGAACAGAAACAAATACTTCGCTGCTGCCTCGGCTTTCCACCACTGCTTTTGTGGAATCATGCTTAATACAGAAACGTGTATTTTTCCGTGTGTGGTTGCATAGGAGGGCTGCAGGTGACTGGAGTAGCTCTTGAACTCCAGTTGCTGGGTGGGTAGAGGCCATGTCTGTCTTTATATACTTTATTCAGCAAAGAGTGATCAAATAGATATTTTTAAAAGCCCGGTAAACAGGATTGTTAGTGCCTTGCTTTTTTTTGATTTAGAACAGCAGATTAAAAAAAAATTCCGAGTTCTTCGGTTTTCCCTTTAAATGTAGCTGCTGTATTGTTTAAAGTTAGCAGAGATTCTTCTAGTCCATGCGCTGGCTGAACTGCAGTGGCATTTAGTCTTTGGAGGCTTGTGTTTTCCTACTTCTGCCTGAATCCCTCCTCCCCCTTTTCTTCAGAGACTAATTAACCTGAAAGGACATACCATGCTAGTGTGAGAGCTTTAAAGAGTGTGATGAAAGATGGGGATAAACTGTAGATGATGAGCTGCTTGTGGACCTGGGATTGTCCAGTTCCTCTTCCTGCGCTGTAGCAGGCACTGATAAGTGCTTCAGACATCGACCCAAGCCAGGGATTGACTCTGTGGCACCCTGCACAGAAAGCTTGCTTGCAGAAGCATATATCCCTCTTCACGGTCTCATTGCTACCTCACTACCTATCTTGTTAGAGGACATGGTACACTTTATCCTGCTTCTTTCCTGTAAATACAAAGTAAAAATGAGAACATAAACATACAAAGAAAAAGATTCTTCCTAAGTAAAATACACTAATATATATGTGCACACTTCCCACATGTACACATTAAAAGTATATACTTGCAAAGTTAAATTAATGAAACTAGTAGTGGTTTCACGTGTTCAGTCCAAATTTCTCTCTTAAATAAATTTTAAGTAAGATAACCAAAATGACCAGTTTAATGAAGTGGCGGTGTTTTTCATATCTTGGCTTATACCTCAGCTGTTGTTTTTCCTTAATGTTAGGAAATCGGCTATTTCAGCTCAAGTGACTTCTTGTATCAGCAATGCCATAGGGAATGCACTCAGATTGTATCATCCCTGTATTCCGGCTGGAAGAGTAGCTTTCAAAACTCAAGTATCCAGAGCTTTTATTGCAGCTAGATGTTATAATAATTTTACTTTACAAATCTTGGAAGGACACACTTAGCCTGTTTGTGTGGGCTTTATTGTTTATTTTCTTTAAAAAGCAAAAAAGATCTGCGGAGATAATTAAAAAAATTGAGTTCCTGGTATATATACATTGCAGTTTCTTTTGAGGCTGCAGTGTAATGTAGCCATTGCTTTGCTAACTTCAGTGCCAGTACCACAAAGCACAGGAGAGGTGTAGGTGCCTGGGTGTGTTTAGCTACGTGGCCAAGCTCTACAGCCCATTCTGTAATCTCTGCTACTGCGCCAGCAGAGCAGCTGAAGGTTTTGCTGCTTAAAAAGTTATTTGGACATCTCTGCCGCAATAATTGCGGTAACTGGAATATCACTCTTCACTGGGTCTGTGCTCTGCACAATAAAACCTTTGATGTACTTGCACTTGTATGTAAGTGTGTACGTGTTGTATCGCTAATACTGGAAGCAGACATTATTTTTCTTCCACCCCCCCCCAGGTGGTTTGTGAGACACTGGAAGCCCAGAAGCCCAAGGTAGATAAACTTGCTGAAGAAACAAAAGCTTTGGAGAAACATGCTGCTTCTGATATAAGAAAAGTCTACACGCAAGAGTTCAAGCATGTGCAGGGACATTGGGACAAGTTAAAGCTCAAGATTTCCAAAGATATTAAACTGCTGGAAGAAATTACATCCAAGTTGAGAATATTTGAGGTAAAATGAAAGGATTTTTTTTGTTACATAACTCTGTTGTGTCAGAGCCCTTTCTTTCTCTGTGTTCATGCAGGAGTCCACATGATACTGACAGAAGTGAAATGTTGATGGGCCACTAGTCTGGCAGAGGTTGGAAGCACATATAGGACTTTTAACATGCCCAGGATATTATTTTGACTTCAAATATGAATTACTTTTCACTTAGAGTTGGCATTCCCCTTCTTTCAATACCCGAAGCAAAGATTACACAAAAGCCAAGGGTATGTCAGCTGTGCTGTTGAAGGCTTGAACCCACCAGGGGCTGAGTGCCCTCTGTTGTGGCGGGTGCCAGATGTCCAATGCCCTACTAGTTTGACATCTAAAATTGGAATTATGCACCTGCTACAGAAAACCTTCTCCTTCAGGTGGGGTTTCTTGTCAACGGTAATAAAAGTTTAGTACAACCTGTTAAAAAGGGAAGTAAATAAAAGTCTTGGGTTTAGTGAGTTTCCCAGTTCCAACAGATGAACTCTGAAGTGTCAGGAGAGTGAGTTAAAAAATTAAGATTAATCAGCACTCTCATATTTTTAATATATATACATATATATATGCACACACATATGAAAACCTGCATGACAGAAAATCCCAATGCTTTAAAAAGGAAGGCATTAAAAGCAAGGGTATTTAAAGGGTATTTAGATGTTTAATGTGTTTAACCCATTGATAAAGAGGGGAGCGACAAGTGTTTGAGTAACTTAGCTGAGATTGACTCAGTATTTACTAGTTAGATGGGTTTATTTGTGTTTGCTTTAAGTCCCTTCTCTAGGCTATTTATATTCCTCTGGGGAGAGGGAAAAATAATGAAAACTATATCATCAATTAGCCCATGGTAATATTATTGTGACCAAAAAGTTGAATAGGCACTAATCTTTCTTCAGTATCAGCGGATCGGAGCAGTATAAAATCCCAAATATCGTGCCTTTCTTTTTTTCTAAAGTAATGTTTAACTACACTTTTAAATAAGTTTCATATTATTTTCATATTATATTTTAAACTTCAATAAGCAAGAAGATGCTTTTAGAGATTCTCTGTCTCTTGGGATGAAGGCATATGTGCATTAGCTAACAGAAATCTGTATTCACATGCATTAAACATATTTTAATGTGTGAAATTATTTACATTCTTTTCCACTTAGCAGAGTATGTATCATGCAATTTATAAACAGAAGCAACTTGCTGTGTGCACCTTCTTCAGAACCATGGTGGCATGCATGCACACCACTACTTTTCCTCAAATGTTTCTTTCACATTTGGTCTCTCCTCCCTCTGAAGTAGAAAACCGTTCTTTTATTTGATCATGAATTCAAACTTCAAACTTTTTTAAATTTTCAGCCAGACAGGGTCTTTAATGACTACTCAAGTATAAACACACATGTTGAAACTGAAATCTGTATTAGTAAGACCAGGTAATTTACTTGCCTGCTGTTGCAGTGAAAGTTGGACAAGCTGCTGCTGATTGTTAACTGGAAGTAGCAAAAGCCTTAAGTCTTTTTCTTTTTTTTAAACACCCCCTCCCCCAACTCAGAACTGGAAGAAGTCATAGGTAGGGGTAACAGTTGGTAACTAAATGACAATTAAGAGCAGAGTGCATACCCGTGCTCCCATGAAAAGTTTTACTTTGGGGGAAAAAGGCTGGAGGCAAAGACTTGTTCCTGATGGTAAAGCGTTATTCACTAATTGTTTGTTTCGGGGCTTGAGCTGCTCCTAACAATGTGTGTGTGAGAAACATAGGTATGGTAGTCCAGTCTAGGCTAGTGAACTTGCACATGGAAGCCACAAACCAACCTATAAACAGGAGGAGGAATTGCAGGTTTTCAGAGGAAAAAATTTTTTTCTTATGTAACACTTTTGTGTGATATTATTAGGCTGCATTACCTGAAGCATAAAGACAAAAGCTGTCCCTGACCCCTTAAAAAACATGTTCAGGAATATATGTTCTTGTGCACCTACATTTGGAAGACTTTCTACTTTTTGTCTGGTTCCTTCAAACCCATCCTTCCATAGCTACTTGCAGCAGCCTGTGGGATGATGTGGAGCTGTGGAGGAGCTGGTGCTGCTGTTCAGTGGGAGCTGACTGCCCAAAGTGAACTGGCTTGTACAGAAGCCTAAAAGAAATTAACTTCTAAGGCTTGCCCAAGCCCTTGGTGATTATTTTCCAGCAACTACTGCATCATTAATTTTTCTCCTGACTTTGACCTAAACGTGTGATATTCCACCGTGTCTCATTCTCTTTCCTTCCTCTCTTTTTGGTAACACTTATTAGTTATTTAGCATGACAGAATAAATATTCTGCAGGTAAGCTTGCCTCAATGTCCTTTGCAACAACTTTCTGTCAGTCCCGTTCTTCACATGATTGCAGCTTTCCAGTTGCCTTGATTATCAGTAGCAACACTAAGCAAGAGCTACTTACCTCATCAGTTTTAGCAGCATTTTTTTCTCCCTGAATTTCTTGCAGGTGCAGAATTTCTCTTTTTCTGTACTTGAATCATATTCAGTTGAGTGGTCTGTACATGCACCTACTTTCCTAAGCATGGCAAGTTTTTATTTAGTAATCAATTCATTTATTTTCAGCCAAAGGGGAAGGGCTCTGTTCTCCACAGCTTTACAAAGTGATGTTGATACCACCATGTATTCAAATCACTCACTGATCAAAGATGTGGATTTTTATGCCCATGGGAGTTTTGAACTATGAGCTATGGAGAGCAGATCATTGAAGATACATACTGTTGTATAGATCTGAGAACAGAATTTTGTCCTGAGTGAGATATTAAAAACTTTCCTGTTACCTTAACAAGAAGTACAAATGCTGAAAAAGAAATTAAAGCAGAAGAAACAATGGAAGTAATTATTAAGTAATTGAAAATGGAAGAAATACGTGGTGGTGCTATCTGAGGAAATATGCGGCTTGCTGTTGGGGGTATTTTTTTCATGAACTGAATTTTTAAGTACACAGTTCCTGTGTTTTCTAAATGTTTCATAAAGATATCAGTGAATGGGCAGTCATGTGCTTATATTCTCTGATATTTCCTTTTGAAGGAATGTCACTAATCTATACTGCGATTTTTGTAGTCTGGCATTGTATGAATAACAATGAGAAAGTGGAGCAAGTTGAATAAAAAGGTTGTGGATGGCACTGGACAGATCAGGATGGAACTTGCACTGCAAGAAAGATTGATATGGGACACAGGATATATTGTCCTGGTGCAGACACAGAATGGGTCAGTGCTGGACATGTGTTACCGGAGACACAAGATTAGTCTGGAGAATGGCTGGGCAGTAGCTCCTTGGTTAAGAGAGGAAATGAAGCATGTGACTATTAAAGAAAAAAAAAAAAACATTGGGGGAGAAAAGGGAAAAAAAAAGAATGGCAGCCCTTAGAGAACATCATGTACAGTCATATGCAACTACACACAAGTGTTGGTTTATTTTTAATGTTTTGTTTTCTCCTAATTCACCTTTAAAAACTGACATTTCCCAAAACAGCACTCCTCACACTTAGGTTTTTGAAAAGAAACTGAAAAGTATTCTCATTTTAACAATGAGCAGACAGGTGAGCAGTGCTTAAAAAGCCCTGCTTAGTCTGAGCAAGTCGGTGGCAGATCTGCCTGTGGGTCCTGCTGCTCCCGTGGCCCTTCTGTGATTTGTGATGTGACAGAGGCTCCCCCAAGCTGACGTGTGCACTAGTGGCATGATCTGTGTTTTACTGTGAGACTGTCTATAGTAGTCATGTGACAGGAAAAGTAGACAAGGCTCATTTTATCAGTTTTGCACTTGTATTTTCTAGAAGAAAATTTCTGTATCTTCTGTTCTCTGTTATCATACCCCTGATAATACATGGCTTGCTCTGTCTTTGATTAGGCATCACCTTCAGTTCTTTTAAATCTACTGCATGGCTGTACATCACATGTTTTTTCTAGGAGTGAACAAGTTAAAATTCAGCACATTTGATCTTTGCTCCTGCCTGGAGTAAATTTTAGAAACAGATCCAGTGTTTTAATTCACATCTAAAAATTGTGAGCTCTTGCACATCAACAACCTACGCTGGCTATTTGTCTACTGGTAATTATTTACCTGTGCAGTGCAGGAGCATTCATTAAACTTCTGTAGACTTGGCTTGTAATTCAGAGAGTTATTTAAAAGTGTGCCTAACTTTGTGAGTAATCCCATTTAATTCACTTCAGCTGCTTATGTAAGTAGCTTAGCGCAAGCAAGCTAAATTAGGTATATGCCAAAATGTCTTGTCAAATGGCAGCCTTTATAAATATGTATTTTTTTACGTTAAGCCATGTTTCACTGTCAAGCCTCCTGAGGTCTGATCTGTTTTTTTGAAAATTATTTTCAGGCTAACCAGCTGCAGGAAATTCCCCCAAAATGGAAATGGAACGAAGATGATTTCATGATTTTGACCTGTAATGGTAGCACTGGCCTAAAAATAGACATGATCTTAGTCTAATGGGTTTTCATTAGTGCAGGTATTTTTATGAGAAGCAGTGTGTAACATATATTGTTCTTGAAAGAACTGTTATTGCAAGGTTTTTAAGGAGACCTCCTCTGTGACATGCAGAGTAGAAGGTAAAGCTGATGAGCTTTGACTCAGCTTCTCACTAACAGTGCTCTGTGATGACAATTGTGTCAGAATAAAAAGATGCCATCTATCAAAAAAAACCAACCATACAGTCCAAAAATGTTGATGAAAAAGAAGTCCAACTAGATTATTAAGAAATGACAATCGCATAACTCAGTTGAACGAGGACAAAGAAAAACTTTCTCCCTGCTTTAATTTTGTCGTGGTTTTGTTTGTAAGGGTGATTGGGAACATCCACAATTTCATGGAAAGGAGATGACAACCCTCCTTGTCTCCCTCCCCATTTACCTCGTCACAGGATATAAGGCAACTGCCAAATGTTAGGTCAGATAACTCTGAAATTGTGTATCTATTTTTTTTCCCTTATGCATTGCTCTAGTGAGTACAGTAGCTGCTATTGAGCTCAAAGAGCTATATTTTCTTTTTTAGTGGTTAGTCTAATCCTCTGTGGTATTTTCCTTTTATGCCTGTGTTTCTCTGTAAGGTGAATGGCCTTCCCAGCATAGCTTCTACCTGTCAAGTATGTTTAGTGATATTTCCTCCTCTTCTCCCAATATATATTTCTATAGGGCCCTCTCTTTGGCTTGGAGAGCAATACATCTCTCAAATGAGTGTGGTGCAAGGAGTCACACATGGTTTCTGTTGTCAGCAAAATGCTATTCCCAGCCTTCATCCAAGTCCTTCCTTGTGAAGGGAAGCTACATAGTTCTTGAAGCCGTGCTTACCTCCTTACTTGATCCTGTGTTTCTGTGTGATGGATAGCATGGAGCAGTGTGGTGTCAATTAAACCATGCTGTGGCATGGATGTGAGAATATCACTATTGTGAATTTAGTTTTTATATAAATTTGAGAAATGGAGGGGAAAAAACCCAAAGCAACAAAACCCAAAAATTAAACCAAAGGTGGTCTGATTCAAAACCAAGGCAATGCTAGCAGCTTGTAGAATATTCTTCTGATGCTGCTGGGAGTTGAAATGCAGCAGCCATACATTCTTCATCACAACATTGTATCAACTCTTCATTACTGTATTTGATTTAGGCTGATTCAAAAGTTGTTCAGAAGTGGATGGATGGTGTGAAAGACTTCTTAATGACAGAAAAGTCTGTTCAAGGAGATACTGAAGGACTTCAAAGACAACTTGACCAGTGCATGGTGAGTTTTGCTCTTTTAAGAATTCTTTTAAAATAAATAGTGACTGGCATCTCTTGTTTATTATTTTGCTTGTATTATTTAATATTGCCCATGACATATTCCATAAAACCTGCCAGAAAATTTGTCTTCTCTTTCTTCGGGACACATTTTAATTGATTCCTTGTGCATAGCCATAACACTTTGTGCTTTTCAAAGAGCTTCACCATATTTACAAACACTCATCTACATGTTGACATTATTTTCTCTGAAAATGTTTATATTTTTTTCCCAATTTTTTGATTAGGGAATTGAATCTTTGAGTGAGAAGTGCTTTCTGCATTAAACCCCCAAGGGCAATAAAAATAACAAGCAAAGGACTCTGATGAAAATCCTAGGATTTAGGAGTTGTATGAGCCTTACAAGTAAAATTCCTTCCTAGCTAGTGGCACACAATGATCACAAATAGGTAGAATTTCATCTTATAGTGAGTAATTACAGTGTACCTTCAACTGTTTTTTTTTGAGTTTTGTTTTGTTTTTGCTGGAAGAAGAATACAAGTCTGAGGTATGCCAGAAACTTCAGCATATTTAGTGCACATAATCTTCAAACTTGTGCTGTTCTGGTGTTGACATTTGGCATGTGAGATTGCTTGCGCTATTCATGGCAAGCTGTATTTTGTTTTTTAGTTGCATAGGTCTGATGTTTCGGGCCACTGAAGGATTGTTTTAAACAGTCTAGTATTGAACACAGCATCAGTCTGCTCTTTTATTAAAGTTTCTCTGCAATAACTTAAAGTTACAAAATTATCGGTATCCGATAAATTATTTAATGTCTTACTAAAGAACAACATTCATTTTCTGTGTGTCTTCAGACGTTTGTCAATGAAATGGAGACTATTGAACCATCACTGAAAGAGATGAAAGAAGTAGAGTCTGCTTTAAGAGCTCAGCCTATTGCAAGCATAAATACTTGGGCAAAGTCTAGGCTAGTAGACTGCCAGACTCAGTGGGAGAAACTGAGCAAACAGGTGAGTTCTCCATACATTACTAGTCCTTGCTTGTTACTGCAGCTGTGCGTTCGGTTGTGTGGCATTGGTAGGTTGGTGAAGAGGTGAGGCAGCGAAACAGTGGAACAAGTGTGTTTTACTTGTTCCACTGTGAAAGTGGCTGAAATCCAACTTGGCCCAGTGAATCCTTCAGAAATGCAAACGTGTTAGGGGATAGCTGTTCAGCAGTGGCTTCGTTTGAATACATGCACTTCTCGGTACCTAACTGGAAGGAGCACAGTGAAATCTTTAATTGTTTGTAACTAAAAATTAGTTTGTTCAATTTGCCTCATGCTGGGGTGGGTAGGAGGGAAGTCTGAACTTTTTGTTCTGTTGTTTCTGAAATCTGCAATATTATTCTGGCCCTGTGTAATTGTTGCCTGCTTCCAAGCAGCTTTAAAAAATAAATGTCTATAAATAGACTACCACTTCAGTCTAGTGTATTTGGTTGTTTCTTTTGGGTGGAAGTTTTCTGCTGTCTGTAGAAACATTCTTCTTTAGTTGCAATGTCTGGCAAGGATCTGTGTTGGAGAACCTTGCTGTTGATACAGAATCCAGATTGCCTGGCTGGGGAAAGAAACAAGGTCTGAACGGTGTTTTAGTACTCTGTATAAAGATATATCTAACAATGTGACACCTATGATCAGAAGAGTTTTTTCTTTCATCTGTGTTTTTCCAGGGATTGTTACCAGTTTACATGCAATGAGTAAAAAAAAAGATTGTTTTTCCTCCTCTCGCCTTTAGATTTTGTTGATCTGCTAAAAAGGATCAGGAGTTTTTGTGTATGTAAAAATCTTTTGTTAATTAAAAAGGCCTGAAAATGTTTTGATAGTAAAATAGTTTAAAAAAGACTTGTGGTTTTTCACATATATAGGGACATTTAAGTGACAAAACTGCTGTTTCTTTCTCCACCTTGAATTCTAGATTGTTAGTCAGAAAAATCGCCTCTCTGAAAGTCAGGAAAAAGCTGTAAATCTGAAGAAGGATTTGGCAGAGATGCAAGAATGGATGACCCAAGCTGAAGAAGAATATTTGGAGAAAGATTTTGAATACAAGTCCCCTGAAGAGCTAGAGAATGCAGTGGAGGAAATGAAGGTCAGGAATACCAGGTCATGGTAGAGACCTGATTAAAGAGAAACAAAACTTAATGGCTTTGGGGGTTGACCTTTTGTGGAATTCTTATCTCTTTGGAAAGGAGCTTAGGTCATGACAAGATTAGTGGTATTTTTCAGCTTTGCTTTGTGGAATTTTTGTTTTTAAAGCACAAACTATAAAAGCAGATGTTCTGTTTGGCCACGAGGGGTAGGGATTTCATAATGAATAGCAGCTTGCTTAGCTGTTGAGCCAGGCTTGCTACCTATAGCATATTTAACACTAAGAATATGGAAACTTATTGCAGGAGAGGAAACTCGAGTAAGAAAGAATCATATTATACCTGTCTAAATTAACATTTGTAAAAACATATTCTTCTGCTTTTAGCTGCTGGCCTTCAGTTTCTTGTCCCCTAGATACAGTAACTACATGTTTAGAAAAGGATTTTGAAACAGTTCTGTTGTAGAGGTTGATGGAGCCCTGGAACAGGCTGCCCAGGGAGGCTGTGGAGTCTCCTTCTCTGGAGATATTCAAGACCCGCCTGGACAAGGTCCTGTACAGCTTGCTGTAGATGACCCTGCCTGGGCAGGGGGTTGGACTAAATGACCCACAGAGGTCCCTTCCAACCCTGAGCATTTTGTGATTCTGTGTGATTTGTTGCAAACAGTGATGCTGGTCTCTGCTGCTCTAATTTTGGGACAGGTGGGCAAAAAAAAGGGAGAGGAAGGAACTATCTTTGTCTCATTATAAATTACCCGTTGAATAGATAATTTTCTTGGATATATGTACAGAGTAAACAATTATCTCTGCTTTTAAATCTAAGAGTTCAAGCATAGCTTCAAAAATGTTTTGGCTTATATGCATGTTATTTAAATGAGTATCCACTACACTGTTACTCAATGGAGTATAAAATACAGACTTTTTTCTTCAAGTGCTTTGACAAATCTATTTGAAATTTTGTATTATCCTTTTTGAAGGGGCTTTCTGAAGCAGTCTGTAACAAGTGTTTTAATATATTCATGTACTTTGAAGCCATTTGAGATCACATAGTCTGACAGCCTGCTGCACACAAGCCAAGAAGTAAATCTGAGAGATTTTGAGCACATTTACCTTTGTCAAACCCAGGTTATATTCTGTACTTCTGAATTTGGCAGATATGTCAGTGAGCCAGTAAGCTTACTGTAGCACTTGCATGTCCTGTTTCATTTGGAATAAGAATATTATGCTGGCACTGCTTTCAGGACTGGGAAAGAACACTCTCTGTATATTTGACCAGGAGTATTTTTGCGTAAGGTTTTGAAAGACTTTGAGCTTGCCTAATTCTGCTTTCATTTGAACAGAGAGTAGAACTCCTGCTGACACTTGAAGGACTAGGTTTAAGATGAGGCTAGGTGTTTTTTGATAATCTTGCCAAAAATAATATGTTCCCTAGATTTTTTCATCCTTTGCCCTTCCATTAACTGGCATTTCTTTTTGATTGCCTTACATTTAGAAGAATTTTCAAACAATATGTACAACAATAATGCTGTCATGTACTAAATTCTACCGTCGTGCCTTATATATCAGAGGTACTTCAACTTCATAAAACTACCCTTGAAACCTGAAAAGAAAGAGATATGGGACAGTGTCTATTTGTGGCGGCTTCTTGTTGTCTCTATACAGACAACCTTGGACAAGTCTGTATGATCTGTCTTCCAGCTATCCCGCTTCCTGAATTCTGGTTAGAGTTCAACAACTGATTTCTCCAGGCCTGTGTGTAGAGAGTTGTTCTGTACCTCTATATTTGTTATCAAGCTTACCTGAGTGCAGTTGGGTTGAAGGAATTCTTCTGGTTGTCCTTTTCTCATGTTCCTCTAGTGTACCCAGCAGCTGTGGCAGAGGTCCCAGCTTTGTAGTTTCATGTGTCCCAGGTAATTAAATTATCTTTGCTGGATAACTTTGGGAGATAGTTACTGAGCTCTGAGAGTCATAACTTGTGCAAATTCACCCTACCTTTCTCTCCTTGATATGCTTCCTTTTAGGAAACCTCTTTTTTTTTTTTTTTTTCTGGTTAATTTCTCTTTTTCGTATCTATATGCTAGCATATAAATAACACCGAACTTAATCTTTTTTTGCTTTGAGTCATGGATTTTTAATGAACTATCTGTATTTTTAATACAATAGGATTTTTCAATGCTTGCTAACATAATCTGAATCCCATGCAAATTAGTGCCATATTTTGTTGTGCTCAGACCCGAAAATACTTTGGCAGCAACACTTCCAAGGTTAAACTGCTGATCTTTGGTTTGAGTGGTGAATATCTGACCATATGGCACTTGAGGGTTGATTGTGTAATACATTTCTTTGGGCAGAGAGCGAAGGAGGATGTGTTGCAGAAGGAGGTGCGGGTGAAGATTCTCAAAGACAACATCAAGATGTTGGCTGCCAAAGTGCCATCTAGTGGTCAGGACCTGGTGACAGAGCTGAACGTTGTACTGGAGAACTACCAGCTACTGTGCAATCGGATCCGAGGGAAATGCCACACTTTGGAGGTAAGAATGATAGCTCTCAGCTTAGTAAATCAGAAGCAGGTGGCACAAGAGAAATGGAGAAGGACACTGAAAATGTCCAATTTTGTCACTGAATCCAGTAGCTACGGCATCAATGCATTTTGCTGTGTCTCCTTTCCAAGACTGCTTTCCCTTGAGATGACATCTTTAGAATCAATGAGACACCATGTAACTTTGCTTTTGTAATCGGTATCGTAATCAACACTTGTGCAAATAAGTAACCTCGTTTCACAACTCTGTTATCCGTCTGTGCATCTTCCAAAAAGACAACAAGAAACTTCTCGGAGGTTAAAGGTTGAAATACAATGACAATTAGAACAAGCTGATTGTAGTTTGGGGTATGTTGTGCATGTCCTATTTTTCAAGAGGAGTGGATGCATTTTCTTACACTTTTAAATCCATAAGAATCTGGATGTCAGTGATAATTCTAGCATGAATTTAGAGACTTCTATGTATTTTGCGTATTTCTTTTTATCTTGCTGCTATAGTTGCAGGTTTTTCTGTCTAGAACTTACTGTGCCATAGCATGTTTTTAAATATTTTCTACTTGCCTGTTTTAGGTGAACATCTCAGAAACATAATTTCTTTAAGCTGTTCATAGGGTATATGAGCTATGTATGGCATTGCAGGCTAATTTGTTTTCTCTGTTATTCCTAGGAGGTGTGGTCCTGTTGGATTGAGCTGCTTCAGTATCTTGATTTAGAAACGGCTTGGCTAAACAATCTGGAAGAAAGGGTGCAAATGACAGAAAATCTGCCTGATAAGTTGGATGCTGTCAATGATGCCCTTGAGGTATTGTAGTAATACTCTTGGATTAGTAACTTTTCAGATGGCCCTGTGTAAAAGACCATAAATTCTGTGTTTCAGTAGAATACTGAAATATGTGTTGAATATTCTGATTCTTCAGATTAAATGAACATATGACTCTGAATCTGGAATGGATATTTGTAAGATCCTCTACCAAAAGCAGAATTTTGCTGTACATAATTGTGCTGTACTTGGTACCATGATAAAATAGTATGCTCTGTCCTATCCTGTATAAACTGATTAATTCCTTCCAGCACTACAGTATGAAATGATGTGAATAGGCAAGAAGTGCTATGAAGTTTAATTATCTAAAGCAAAATCACCACTGTGTTTGCCTTGTTACTGTCATGGATTAAGCCATAACAAATTAATGCTTTTAGAGCACTCTCAAGACATTTGAAGTGTAAAATTTCTGTGTGTGCAGCCAGATTTCTACCTCTGAAAAAGCAGTAATACTCAGTGTATTGACCTTTAAAACTTTCTTTGCTAATTAGTCCCTGGAATCAGTCCTGCGTCATCCAGCTGATAATCGAACCCAGATTCGGGAGCTTGGGCAGACACTGATTGATGGAGGGATTCTTGATGATATCATCAGTGAAAAACTGGAGGCTTTCAATGCCCGCTATGAGGAATTGAGTCACTTGGTAAGAATTTGGGATCAGGGTTGAAATAGACTGGGTTTTTCAGCTCAGTGGTCTGAAATGATGCCTGTTAGATAGCTGAATTCATAGATGCCGGCCTGCAGTACAGGAAAAGAGGAAAAACCTTCACAATGTTTTCAGCTGTTTTCAATTTGGAGTAATGCCCTAAGAGCAAGATGTGTGTGGTGGGTGGTGTTTCTTTTCTCTTTCCGGACTAGAGTCAGGTTTTGTTTTGCACACTTGCACATCTTGCACTGCAGGGACCCCCTGGTATTTTTCCAGGTAATTTTGACAAAATGGCGGTTCCAGTCTCCAGGGTGACAGTTCAGTAACTGGGGCTAATATTCCCTTCCTACTGCCATAAAAACTGGTGAGCTGCTCACTGACCATAAAAACATTCTTTTAATTCCTCATCTATTATGTTGTCCCCTTCCTCTTCTCATACTTTGGTGTAATCTTTTCTAGATTTAATAAGTAAAGGAAGACTAGCTGTGTTTCAGATTGCATAAATTTCTAACTTGTGTTCTGTATTCTGGTAATACAGGCCCCTGCCAAATGGTGGGATGGGAGTTTCCTTCTGTCACTGCCAAAGTGTAGTCATAAAGGGAACAGCAGTTCATCTTCATTAGAGTGAGCAACATGAATGCAGTGCCCTCAGCTGGGGGCTATGTGCTGTCATTGAAGTTAGCATTCACCATTGTTTTTCCTGTTACAACACTACTTTATTGCCATATAAAAACTACCTGCTTTGGCAGCTGCGGCACTGACACACTGGGCTGTTGACTACTTTCCACATCTGTGTGTGTGTGCATGCCCCCACTGGTTTGTGCATGTGTTGATAGTGGGGAATTTGTGTTCCCATGCAAGCAGTGACATTTCAGATGAACTTAGAAGTTTTGCTGTTGAAGGGACAGGCAGTGGAGGGAAGGAACTGTGAACCTCTGTTTTCACACTGTAATAGAAAGACAGTTTATTGTTTTGAAAGAAAGTGTGCAAGTTTACCCATCAAACAATATTGATCTGTAGTGTATTACAAAGCCCCTTATTCCCGTTGACTAGCTAGTTTTTGAAACCAGTATGTTTTTAAACAGAATACTTTCTGTCTGGGTTATGGGAGAGACCTGTTTTCACTATCCTGTCTATCTAGCAGCTGAACTCTCCTTCTATGCCACTGTTTGTCAGTTACTGGTATAAATCACAGCAGGCTTCAAAAATTGCTGCCTTCTAGGGCTTGCTTTTGCTCTTTTTAGGCAGTCTTCCTGGAACAGGATTCTTTGGGTCTCCCCCACCTTCTTTTGGGAAAGTTTAATATAATTTGTATTGAGTTACTGCTCCATCTTGTCTCACCTTTCTGTCCCATTCAGGCAGTGAGTCGGCAGATTGCCTTGGAACAGCAACTTCAGACCATGCGAGAAACCGACCACATGTTGCAGGTCTTGCAGGAAAACTTAGTGGAGCTGGATAGACAGCTGACATCTTACCTGACTGATAGGGTAGATGCCTTTCAGATGCCCCAGGAGGCCCAGGTATTCCAGTACAGCTTTTCACAACAAAACATTTTGATATGTCTCATCATAGGGCTCAGCCTAGACTTAGTAATTCCTGAAGGCTTCATTTCAGTCCTGTCCTCATGTACTAGGTGATCTCTTTTGTGATCTGGATTGTTTTCTTGTTTTAAGAAAATTGTATTGAACAACAATTTAAACGGCTTTCAATTTAGCAAGCTGTCACCAGAGCCCAAAATATTTAAAATAAACCTTGTAATGTTAAACTCATACAGAGTGGGTTTACTTCTGGTGGGTAGTAGGTGGTAAACAAGTTCCTCTTCTCCTCTCTGCAAGCAATTTTGTAACATTTTTTTCCTGTTTCTGTGACTTTGCAGAAAATTCAAGCTGAGATTGCAGCTCATGAATCCACCTTAGAGGAGCTCAAAAAAAGTGCTCGCTCTTTCGCTGCTCCTGAATGCAGGTCTCCTCGTGGTGGAACTCAGTTGGATGCTTTGCAGGTAAAAATATGAGTCACACAAAGAATTTAAATATGAAGAGTTTCTGGTTTTCAATTATACACTGCTGTTGTCAGCCTAGAAATTTCTTGGTGCAGTCAACCCAACCTCAGAAGTACTCACTCTATGCTTTTACATGCTTTCATTAGGAAACAAGTTAGCACTAGATTAATTGAATAAGGAGGTTTAAATTCTGTATCATGACATAAATGCTGAAATGTAGAAAGTCTCTGTATTCTAGTAGAATGGATGTTTTGAAAGTGTGTGATGCAGAATTACAGATCTCTTGCACCTCAGGTGGATGTTAGGAATGGGTGATGAAATTTGGCTTGGCAAATAGTGTTGTCATGTCACTGGTGGCTTGAGAGGCGAGTTAGAATCTGCGGGGCGGATGTGCTTTAAATGTTATTTTTTGAAGTGCAGATATTAATTTAAAACATCTTTTTAACATAATATTAAAACAGAGAAAACTCCGTGAAGTAGCTACAAAGTATCAGCTTTTCCAGAAACCAGCCAATTTTGAGCAGCGCATGTTGGATTGTAAGCGGGTGTTGGATGGTGTAAAAGCAGAACTTCATGTCTTGGATGTGAAGGATACCGACCCAGATGTAATCCAAGCTCATCTGGACAGGTGCATGGTAAGTATGCAATGTTCTTAACTCATGCTTGGTGGTGTGTGTTTCTTGTGTGATTATTCTTGCCTAAACTCTCTCCAGAGGAAGTTTTGCTTGAGGTCCTGATGGAACTGTTAGAACTTTTTGCAAAACGCCAGTGGAACAATAGATAACTAAAAGCCTCTAATTCTTCTGGGTAGAATGTGGACAGAGAAGTAGTGTGGATTGTGGATCACAGATGTGGAGGAACTTCGTTCCCTGTCTCATCCTTGTGTTATAGAGAGGCATCACTCGAGGGCAAGTTTGCTTGATTCTTAGTATTTGAACAAAGCAAATACTATACGTAAGATCAAGTGCAGATCCCATTGTTAGCCTTGCCACATGTGGTGATGTTATGGAGTAAACTCTGCTAAATTATTGGGATAGCTATTTTGTGGGATTTTTTGATGAAAATAAAAACTAGAATAAAATATGGAACAGCAGAAGTTTGAAATCTTGGCAGACATTACTCTTAATCCATAGCTCAGAGTTTTTAATACGATCTGATGGTCAGGTCCCCAAATGAAGCTAAGTCTGAAAATCTGCACTACAAATTGATCACCAGTATACATATTTGTGTTTTTAGAAACTCTATAAGACCCTCAGTGAGGTGAAATTGGAGATTGAAACTGTCATCAAGACAGGAAGGCAAATTGTACAGAAACAACAGACAGATAATCCCAAAGGAATGGATGAACAACTGACAGCACTGAAATTTCTTTACAATGACTTGGGGGCACAGGTAAGTTTTCATGTCAGATGCTATTTTAAGTTTGATTCTGAATCTGATATTGTATAGGCTACTTGCTACATCCTGGAGCAATCAGTTGAGAGAGTAAAGATTACACTTAAAAAATTCTGTAGTTGTGCGAGACCCCTGTGCTAACAGAGTGTTCCTGAAGGGGAGGTGGCCTAGAAGAAAGGAAGGTTCATAGAGCTTTCATCATTCTGACAAAGCTGACCTGCTATTGGTTAACATCTGATGAGCACAGTTGTGCCTTCTCTTGTCTGTAAACCAGCCTGTAAGATAATTTACTATCAGATTGTCCTATGAGTAGTTTGAGCTGGTGTAAATTTTTTTTAGGAGGTGTCATGATGGTTTCTAATTGTAATGCATCCTAAGAGTTGCCCTCAGTATGAAATAGAAAATGCAAGCAAACCATCAACTGCAATAAATATTGATTTGAGTAATTTTCTTGGTAATTGAACAGTTATTTATGCAAGTGAAGTATTTAAAAATGGTTAAACCCGTAGGGAACGGTGGGAAATGGGGAATTTTTTTTTTTCCCCTACCTAAATTAAGACAGAAGTCCAAGCAGACTCATGCCTGTTCAGTGTTCTGTTAATGAAGCTGTGGGTAAGTGGTCAGATTACATTGCTGGAGTATCTTTAAGTGGGCCCTAGGAAATATTTTATTGTTGTAAAGTGGAGAACATTCACAAACGTGTGAATTTGACTGGAACCTGCACATCTGTAACTCAGACAGCATGTGGACAAGAAATTGGGAAAGGATAGAAAGGCAGTTATTTGTAATATACTGTTATGATGATCTTCAGAAAGCATTATTCTGAATAAATACATGCAAACACTAAGCTGAGACAGAGGGCAATTTTTTGAAATGTCAGTTGATTCTGACTGCTACAGTTGGATTGATTCTCAAGTCTGTGTTAAAGTTTGACCAGACTAATCGTGTAGCCAGTGCGAAATAGAATTGAGTATACTGCAACAAACATAAAATTTCATATTCACATTACTGAGAGGTTTTCAAGGGCAGACTAGATTTTTGGTGAAATTTTTCTTTACTAGTTTCTGCTAGCAGGTCTACTGAAATGCAAAAAGGAAACAAATTTTACATGTGTGTGTGACTGACTGGATTCTATACTCCCCTCAGTTTCAGTCAAAGGATCATAATAAACAAACTTTAAACATCAATTTGGTGATTACTAGCTATAAATAAGTTGGTATGCAGGTTTCTTTGTCTCCTTTAAGTGTATCTTAATTTAAAATTATTCTAGTTTTATATTTAAGACGCAGATGTTTATAAATGATTTTTTATTTTCAGGGTCCTTCCCTAATGCAAGACACTCTTAAGATGCAAGGATTTTATATATTTGGGTGGATATTTCAGCTGGCTAGCACTTTTTCATTTTTGCTGTCTTTTAAAATCTAATTTGGTTTTATTTCTTCTTTTTATTTTTTTGTAGGTGACGGAAGGAAAACAAGACCTCGAAAGAGCGTCCCAGCTGGCACGCAAAATGAGGAAAGAGGCTGCTTCTTTGTCAGAGTGGCTAACTACCACTGAGGCTGAGCTTGTGCGGAAGTCCACTTCAGAGAGCTCGCTTTCTGATCTGGATTCAGAAATTGCCTGGGCCAAAGTAAGCACGCTCTGAATATCTGTGGAATTAATTTTTAACATTATGGCAATACTATGTACTGGGGGCTGTAAATTTATATCCCTGTAACACCTATAGAGTGATGCGATGCATGTGCTTTACCTGCATAATGAAAAGGAAGTGTGAAGATGTTACAAAACAACAAAACTCAAAGGTCTCAAGCTAAGTTATTCAGGACACTTACATGCATTGTGCTTTTGTTCTCTCTCAAAAAAACGAGATCACTGTCTACAAAGCGTGAATATAAACAGAAGGTGATTCTACTTGGTTTGATTTTTCTCAAGTGAAGATCATCTGTGATATTTGCTTCCTGTGGAGGTGAAAATCTGTTTCCCTTGTGATTGGGAGCAGTGTGCAGTGATAATGGTTCCTGTTGTTTCAGAATGTACTGAGAGAGCTGGAGAGGAGGAAAGCTGATCTGAAGGGCATCACAGAAAGCTGCACTGCGCTCCAGGCTCTGGTGGAAGGGAGCGAGACTTCCCTGGAGGAGAAGCTGTGTGTCCTTAATGCTGGCTGGAGCAGAGTTCGGACCTGGACTGAGGACTGGTGTGACACCTTGTTGGTAAGTTGCACATGTGAGAAACATTCAGGGTGCTTCTCCCTCCACACCCTTGGAGTAGTTGCAGTTTGTACTTGTCTCACTTCGCTGTGATGTGAAGCTTCCATGGTGCCTCATGGGCTTAAAGCAATGCAGAATGGGTGTGTGGTTACTCTGTAGATGGAGAGATGAGTCATGAGGTTATATACAATGAGGAAGGCAGAAAACTGTTTTGCAAGTGTTTTAGATGTGCTGATAGGCATTGGTGCCATGCACTTTGCAGTAGTGGCTACTGCTCAGTGAGTAGGAGATGAAAATGAAGAATCTGGATGTGAGTGTGATGAAACTACATAAATATGCCAGGCAGACAGTGAACTTGAAGTAGTGGGAGTAACCTGCTTAGGTGTAGAGCATAAAAGCAGGATTAACTCTTTTCTTTCTTTTGCCTTTCTCTTTCTACTGGCTTTAATGCTAGAACTCTTTTCTGGGGTCTTACTTGCCATAGACTTTGTGGTTTAATTCCTATCTTCTATAGAAAATCCAGTATACACTTAGTGAACAACTTTCACACATCTGTTGTTTTAATCTTTTTATCTTTTCTTTCTCCCTCCCCTTTTATGTGCCACCACATTACACTTTTTTAATCTTTTGTCCTTATTTATGATTTTATCTCCTTGTATCTCTTTCCTGTTAATGTTTTATCACTTTCCCTTTTGCTACAGCAATAGTGCTAGCCTCTTGTGTCCACTTGTTAGTTAGCTCTTAATACAATTCTTGTTACCCTAGTGCATAGAAGTAACTTTCTAAACTATCATGAAAGGGGCCATCTACCATTGCACATAGGCTGAGTGGGTTTTGGGGCATACAAGCATTCATAAAACTGCTAATGAGTTTACTCATTAACTGGTAGTAGCTGATTCTGCCAGATTAAAATGAAGGGAAAAAACCCACCAGGTTATGGAAGTGTTGGTTGTTTCAGAACAGGTTAATTAGAGCCCAGAAGTTTGGTCTTGTGTTTTCCAGGTAACTTTCCATAACCTAATGAATTCATTAGTGTAAGTAGAAAACAAAAGGAACTAGCTCAAAAGGATTGATTTCCACGAGGCTTCTGTGTGTGCTGCTCTTCATTCAACCTGAAAGATACCTCTGTGCCAGCTCCATCAAGAACAGAGTGTTCTTGTGTCGATAGATTTCCTTCAGACCCACATGATGACTGTTTAATGGACTATTGATAACTTCCTAGTGGTGTGTTCAGCAAAGCACTTTCGACCTTCTGTCAGCCTATTGCTCTTTCGGACAGCCCGTAACTGCAAGTGTTTAAGAGTATGCCAGCTCGGTTGAGGCCAACAGCATCTGTTTTGCTGAGTAGATGAAAGACTAAGCATATTATACAGCATAAACCTGCAAGTTTTGCTAAAAGGACATGAAACAATCTGCAACTGATGCTAGTATCAGACTGATGTTTTCACATAGTTAAATATATCTGTCTTGTTCAGCTAGTTATGACAATCCACCTTCAGAAGGCCATGATATGGGCTGAAATTGTGGAAACTTTGGTGAATACCTAGGTGGTGAGCCCTGCGCATTCTGTCCAATGCCTGTTGCAGGTCATACTGTTTATTTCATAACCTAGTGATGCCTATGTTAGGAGCAGTCAGGTTCTTTACCTTTATTTGTAAATGTGTAAAAATGATCCACATCTAAAAACCTTCTGAATTAAGTTTGTGTTTGGTGATAGGTATTGTCCTTGTGCTGACTTTGTTAGTTAAAGTGTTCTTTCCATAGGTGAAGATATAAGCCGCTTGATGTTGACATAGAGAACAATAATAGGCCTTCTCCCTCCCTCCTCCCTTCCCTTTGTTTTGTTAGTCTAAAAGATCAAAGCTTGGCTACCCTTTTTTTTGTGTAAGAAGCTCTGTACTTAAGCAGGATGGTACTTCTCTGAATCTGATAGCTTTGTTTTGTCACATGGAATAATGTGCCGTTTCTGTCTGTGGCACCTAATGATACAATTTCTGACTGCATATGAAAGCAGACCTAATTGATATGTCTACAATGTGGTAAGTTTTCTTATGAGGTAGAAATATTTTAATATAATCAGTAAAATATCAAAAGTTGACTATTATAATTTTTAGGTTTTGGCATGATCTCCTTTCAATAAAAAAAACCCAAACCGTCAGTTGCACTTAATGCGTACTGTTGTATCTGTTAGTGAGAACTGAAGAAATCGTGGGTTTTTTGGTTGACTGAGATGATGTAGTCTGGAAGTAATATTGTAATACATTGTCTGTCTTTATTTAGTACGACAAGCCACCTCTGCTTTTTCAGTTTCCCTTTCTATGAATTAGGAACAATAATATCAAAGGGTCTAGAATGAAAATTGATTTCTTGTAAATACTTATTGAAGGTGAAAGGGTACAATCTAATTTTCAGTGTTTCCTTCCAGGGTGTGTCCATAACACCCTATTCTGTTGATCTCATTTTTAGTCCTAACATTGGTTTTGGCAGGGGTTTGTTGTTGTTGTGTGGTTTTCTGTAGGGTTGTTTCTGGTTTTTGCATTGGGGCTTTTTGTGGATTTTTTTTTTTTAAAGTTTCTCGCAAAGATTATTTTTTTAAAATATTTTTCCAGAATCATCAGAGCCAACTGGAAATTTTTGATGAAAATGTTGCCCACATAAGTACTTGGTTGTATCAGGCTGAAGCCTTACTGGATGAAATTGAGAAAAAGTCAGCAAGCAAAAAGGAGGAAACTGTGAAGGTAGGAAGATTTGCTGTCAAGTAACCACTTCTGGATTCTGAATGAAGTCATCAGGTTTGCTGCCTTTTTTTAAAAAATATTTTTTTGTTTCCTAGGGTAACTATTTGCATTTTCTTTCACTTTTTAGCGCTTAACATCTGAATTAGATGATGTTAGTCTTCGAGTGGATAATGTGCGTGATCAGGCTATCATGCTAATGAATGGTCGGGGGGTATCGTGCCATGAGCTTGTTGAACCCAAACTGACAGAACTGAATCGTAACTTTGAGAAGGTCTCTCAGCACATCAAAAGTGCCAAGGTGAGGATAAGAGAGCCCAAAACTTACTTTGGGGGTGTATGTCAAAATGATGGCAAATAACTTTAGGGGATAGGTTTTTTATATGTTAGCACAGCACTTCACTGCTTTTGGTTCTTGTAAGTGTAGATTTTTGTGTGTGAAAATTTGACAGACTGATTTTAGACCAACTGCTTTTTTTGACTGAGTAGCAGGTGATAACTGGAGTTGCAAAGGAAAATTTACAAATAACTGTGTGTTAATAAAGATTCAGAAAAATGTATATGTTACAGTACATTTTTACACAAACTACAGAACAACACCACAAGCTAATGTAACTGGAGGTTTTTTGTTTCTTTTGAGACCAGAATGCTCAGATTGAAGTTTGAGGGTAGAGGCTTGGTAATATCTATCAATGTTGTGTCCAAGCTAACTCAGTGTTAGATCAAACAACTCTTGTAATTTTTTTGATACTGATAGCTCATGGTCCTACAAACTGGTATCCCTGTTCATGGAGAATTGCTTTAAATCATTAAACTGTGTGTGACAACTCAGACTAAATTTTTCAGCTTGAACAAAGTTCTATTTTGATTTGCAGATGCTGGTTGGACAAGAACGACTTCCTGTCATGTCAGAGCCCCGTGAAGTCAGATTAGCTTTTCCAGACCTGGAAAAATTAGAGTGTGACATACAGAAGATGTTAAAAGTTGTAGAAAAGCATCTAGAGTTGAGTGGGGAAGATGAAAAGGTTTGTGAGCAATGGAAGAATTAAATAACTGACCAATTCCCTTTCTATTGAGTTTGTGTTGCATTCCTCCTGACTTCAAGACGGAATTCTTAGAAAATCTCTTTAGGATAGGAGTAGAAAATGAACGGAATTACTAGGTTTTTAGAAACACCTCACAATTATCCCACTGCCTCTTGGCTGGTGCATTGAGAGTAACTTGTCGTACATCAGTCTATATTTTCATCATGGTTTTATGTAATTCAGGTAGTAAACTTTCATTTTCATTTATCTTCTCTCTTCTGCTCAAAGTAGCTGTTTATAAGGAATTTTTCCTGTTTAAGTAATAGGGTGCAAAACATTTTTCTTCATGTCTAACTGTCTGAACTTACTTAATGCAGCTGAGACTATGTATTCAGCAACTTTGGGCCTCTAATCTGTTACATTGGGTAGATATTTTTTCACTTCAAATTTAAACTGGTGTGATATATTGAACCACAGTGCATAGGTCGGGTCAGTGGATGTTTGTGAGATGAAGTGCAAATGGGTGTTGTAATATGGCTCATAGCAAGTCCAAATAAGAACTTGGAACAAAATTTGTCTCTTTCTAGATTCTTGTCTAGGGTCTGCTATTCACCTGTGTAAAACTGTCATAGTTTTATTTGCATCTTGTCCTCAATAGCCTTTTTGGCTACTAAAATGGATAAAGTCCTGCCAGACCTGGCAGGTAAGATGCTGCCTATCTGCCTGCCTTTTAAGCACACAAAATATTATAAACTGAGCTGGAAATCTGAATTATAGGCCTATGCAAAATGCCATGTGTACTACAGAAAACAATTTTTAAAAGGCCTCTGTTGAAGGATCTAGTGTTAAAGAACACATACTTCCATTTGTGCTGTTTTTATATATATAACTTTTTTGTTTTCTTGCTGTTCTGCTCTGAGCTTGCTTATTATTGTCGAGGAATGTTTAGAATGGAAATGGAGCTGAAGTCATAGCACCCTCTTGCTATGGCTGCCTACTGCTAGCTCATTGAGTGTGCTACTTGCAGGGTATCTCTTTATGAAGTTTATGGAATGACCAAGTTAGATTTTAGGATTTGGTAGTTGTAGAGGAGAATCTCTGCTTGAATTTGTTTTGCATACATTTGTATAATAAAAAAACCTGATACTATTACTGTTAATATCTGAGCAGGTAATAAATTCATTTTGGAAACCATAGCCGAGCTTTCTGTAGATAATAGAGACTTGTGTAATTTTAGCTGGACCAAGAAAGAGCTCAGATTGAAGAAGTTTTACAGAGAGGAGGACAGCTGTTACAGCAGCCTCTGGAGGACCATAAGAGAGAGAAGATCCGCATACAGCTGTTGCTTCTGCAGAAAAAATACAATAATATTCAGGTATGATTATGATAGTTACTATAGTTAAAGCTCATTTACATAGTCTTCCCTTTGGTATCCCACCTGAAACATGGTTGTAACTTTTGTAGTGTTTAAGATTCTCTGGGCAAGAGTTAAATGTGTGTACGCAGTCTGACTCTCTGAATCTTTGCAATTCCAAAATACGAAGTTTGTCATTCCAAAGTTCTGGGGGAGTGGTTTTGATTTTTAAAGTCCTTTTCACAGTTTCATGAAGGGCTGCCCTGTATGTATTTACACAGACGGGTGAAGACAGTTGGGCATTTCCTTCACTTGTCTTTGGCCCTCCAGCAGAGGTTTGTCTCCACCACTGGGCTGTGTGAAAAGGGACTACATAGGCACATGAACACAAACATATTCATTGAGTTCTCGGCTGAAGAGGTTTGTGTGAATAAGAGTCTGCTCCTGAATTCCTCTTGCTTCTTATAGAGGGCATTATCAGCTGTTGTGTACAAAGACAGTGTGATCTGGGCAGTGTGGTTCAATTGGCAGTTTCTCTTGCCGGTCTTGTGCATGAAGATTATGCTTAGCTCTTTTTGATACCCCGACTCAAACAGCTTAATGCAATGTTTGGTTCGTGCAGGTGTGGTAAAAGCCTCGTTTGAGGCTTTAAATCAGTGCTTCTGCATCCTGTGGTCCGGATATTGTAACTGCTCTGGTCGGGGTATTGTAACTACTCTGATATTGCCTTTCACTACCTCAAGTGCTTAGGAAGTGATAACTACCCTCATGTGATTGATATTACTGTACACAATGAAGATTAATAAAGATGACAAAGGTTGAAGTATTTCTGATGAGAAGACTTATGTGTGATAACGTATGTATGGGGGTCTTGAAAAACAATTTCACAACTGATTTAATAGGATGTCAGGGTCTGATAAAATTTACTGCCCAGCAAGCTGTAGGTCTTAATTGTTGAAGGTACAGATGCTTTCAGTGGTGGAGGTTTTTTTGTTGTGGTGGTGTGGTTTGGTGTGGTGGGGTTTTTGTGGTTTGGTGGTTTGTTTGTTTTATTTCTCCTTTTCATCCTTCAAAACACTTTGGCCTTGTGGTAATTACATTAATATTTTAAGCAATAACAGTGAGAAACCTTGTGAAGCAGTAAGTAATTTCTTGGACAAGTTTGGGGGCTAGGCAATCTGTCAAGTACTTCTCAGTTTCTGCATATGAAGCTTCATAATTAAAACCAATCAATCTCTTTTTGACTGCTCTGTAACATTTTAACCCAGCACCAATTATCTTGGAGGCAAGGGGTAAAATGCTCTGGTTCCCTGTGAGACTCACACCACAAAATCAACATGTGGTGCTCTTCATTTGCAGCTGTAGTGCTATGTGGCTTCAGCTGCCTATGATAGCTGTAGACCTATGGCAGACAGTCTGCTCTCCTTGGTCACACAGGTTATCAGCTTTGGAAGTAAACCTTGTAAATCTTCTTTTCAGAGAGACTTTTTCAAATTATAAGCCTCCCACGCAGGGCTGGGCAGCAAAGGTGGCCCCAAGGTCTATTTAACTGTCCAACATCTGACTGCTCTTTTGGGTCCCCAGCTGTCAGACCTGGTGTACTGTGGTACTTACACACAAGCACCTTGGGACCTGACTGATGCCAGTGGATTCATTTGAAGGAAATGGAGATCCATATACATTTAAAGTAAAACAACATGATTCAATTTTTCTGTCTGACCATCAGCAGCTTTGAGCGAATCAATTACCGTATTACAAAGGGGAAAAGGTGCACCTGGATGGTTCTTTGTTAATGGGAGCAGTCCAGTTGTGCCACAGACTGGTCTTGCTTGTCACTGTTGGTATCGCTGCAGGTTGGCTGATCTTCTCTAAGGAAGATCCTTTGCCTCCTGTTAAAGCCATTTTCTTTAGGGTTATACTGCAGCTAATCCCTGGCACTGCCAGATCCATTCCTGGATTACTGCATCTTGGTATCTGGGTGCTGAATGCAGAATATCATGTAAATATGGATTATCATAGCAATTACAGTAGACTATTGATGGAGAAATGTTATGTTTGCACAGAATTAGTTGTATAAAAAATATCCTTACACTTCCAGATGTAGTTTCTAGCCTGGCTGAGTCAGCTAGGCTTTCAGAAATGGACCACAGCAGTTTGCATTACTGCTGTGAAATTCAGAAACTGTTGCTTTTGCTTCATGTGCCTGTGTCTTTTACTTTGTGATATTGGAGTGGTAACCCAGCAGGTCTCAAGTGACCTCATTTTACTTTTACAGCTTGTTCTTTCACCTGCGTAAGTAATTGACCTTGAAAACCAAAAATAGTATGGGACCATACCATTTTTAAAGGGACAAATAGTGTTCCCAAATATTATCATCATTTTAGATGAACACAGTTGCTCCAGAAGTTTCTTGGAGCCACCAGACTTGACCTACTGTCAGCACCAGGGGGGACCCTAATGCTAAAATTCTGCAACAGAAACGGCCCGTCACCAATTTTTGCCATCTACTCTGTGCTCGAACACCCCCCTCCCCCATCTTTAGTCAGTAGCAATGTCTGATGAGGGTAGGAAAAGGGAAATGCTGGATATATCCATAGGCCCCCCAGACTACCGAATACCAAATTGCTTTTTGCTCATCTTTGGTCAGGGTTGAGCAGCACTAAATGAATACTTCACCCGCTGGTGCGCAGCTGGCTCGGTGCCTTGCCTGGATGTAAGGAAGGTGCAGTGAGCAGTGGAAGAGAAACTAGTGTTTAAAACCAACAAATAGGGAGGGAAAGAAAGATTTCGGCTGCCAAACTAGGGAGTAGACTCCAATTAAGGTTTTATGGAATACATTATTTACATGTTTGTAAATCAGTGTGGAGGAGAGGACTTTTTTATGGTGCTTGAAGGTCGTATATATCTATATATTGATTTGCTGGAGTTAGCTGGATCATAAATATTCCTCATTGTGTATGGTTCTAGGGATTATAGACGTAAGTGTCTCTGAAATATTTGTAACTCTTGGGCATAGCCGGTGCTTGTGAATAACCCTTGTTTTGCCACAAATCCGTTGGCTAGAAAAGCCTGCATTGGAAGTTTGTATCTCCTCGTGTTCCTTCTCTTCTAACGTTGCTGTAGTATTTATTTAAATTGCTTTATTCTGACTTGGCTCAGAGACCGGGAAAGGAAAAATTAAAACTTAAACTGCAGATGTAATTAGTTAACTACAGTTCCTAAGAGATTTTCCCAGGTTTTAGAAAACTGTTTTGAAGTGAAAATGATAATTTTGTAGATGGTAAGTGAATTTGCTGTTGCAGGCACAGTGCCGTTTTTCCTATAAACTGAAACACAGATGTTATCTTGAAGCCTCTTGCAGTATAATTATTCCTGTAATAAAGAAAACAAGTTTGTTTGCCTATTGTGCTTTTTATAGGGAAGGTTCTGGGCTACCTAAATATGAACTGTTAGCTACATTGCCCACAAATACGTTGCTTACTGACTGCGTTAATCAACCCAGAAGAACAAATAAAATGGACTTGAAATTTTAGCTTTGGAAAACCTTTTCCTAGTTAACTGGCTAGGAAATATTTTGAGTGTGAGAAGGGGCAAGGAATGGTTAAAAGGTGAGCATTCCTAATCAAATGGTTATTTGTTTGCAAAGATGGTAAGTAATGTGTGGTGATCTGATATTAGACTGGGTAAAAGGTTTTGGTTAGAAAGTATTTATAGTTAAATATGCAAGCTAAATTATTTCATTTAGTGTCAGTTTTTTGGGCAGTAGTTTCCAGAATCCACTTGGAAGCAAGTCAGAGTATAGTTGAATCTTTGGTAAATTTTGTTTCAAAACGTATTTAAGTTTAAAAGGGGGAAGGGGAAGAAAATCTGAAGCCAAATTCTGAACTGCAGGTAAAATTAGATGATAAGTATTAGAGTAGGAAGCAAATTTTTATTTGACAACTGAGTTGAAATCCAGTTAATTTTAGCAGCTCTCATTGAGAGGCCTTATTTATAGAACATACACCAGTAACTGAGTATTTGCCCTTCTTCCCCTATTCTACATTTTTCCTAGTATTTAAAGAGAGATCAAATTTAATAAACATGCTCAGTCACCACTGAAACTAAAGTTGAAAAGGGCTATTAAGTCATCCAGTCAAATCTCCTAAATAACCGTTGATTAACATTTTATTTGTGGGTGCTTAAGAAAAGATTTAGTTTGCTTGCTTTTTTTTTTCTTTTTTTTTTTTTTTTAATTTGAAAGAACAAGCAAAACCCTAACAAACAGCTTCTGTGATATTTAGGTGTTTGATTTGTCAGAAAGTTATGTCAAACTTTTGCTCTTCCGTGTTTTTTTTTTTTTTTGTATATTCTGCTGCTTTTTAGGAGCTGCCAGTCTGCAATGCAAGGTAGAGAACAGCTGAACAATTAAAACTCCTCTGTAGTAAAGCACTAATGAGTTTATAACACTTACATATGTTCACCTTCAAGAGGGAGGGCTGTGAAAGGAGGAAACATCATCTCAGTGACTGGAGGCAGCTGGAGGAGATTAGCAATGAGGTGTGCTCTGCAGGAACAGCACCAGGAGGAATTCACTGCTTTGCAGAAGAGCAGCAACCTGGCCCAGGATGGTGCTACTGGGGAAGCAGGAATTTCAGCACATTATCTGTGCTGGCTACTAGTGGAAAACACGTTTGCTGCATGGCAACACATGCCGTTTTAAATCTTGTGCAAGTTTTTTCTAATGGGAGATAAAGCAATGTGTGTGAAGTAGAGAGACAGTAAAGTTCAGTGACATGTTCATTTAGGTGAAGTCTGGATTCTGGACTGTTGCCTCTGTGAGAATGGGACTTGTGGGATGATGGAGAGTTAGAGGAAAAAAAATCTCGTGAAGATGCTGCAGGCAGCTGTGCTGCAGCAGGCATCCTGATGTTCAAACCCAGACTTGTTCCACATTGCTGGGGAAAAGATACTTTGAGTTGCCCAAGCTTGGTCTGATTTCTTTGGAGCTGGCGCTTCTCCTTCCACAGGAAACCCTTACTCTGACGAAGTTTTGTGCTTTTGCTCTGAATTTCAGTGATGAAAGCTGAGAAAATACATACAGTGCCTCAAGAATATGTGTTTGGGGAGCATCAGGGCCCAAATGCTGGCTTTGTAGCTAAGGCGTATGGAGTAGCTTGTGCTTTTTACTGCAGTGCTTGCTTGCTGTACTGTTACTGAATCAAAAGCAATGTGGAGTATTTTATGATGCTTGTCTGTAATACGTGGTTTCAGTGGAGTCAATTTATGCTTATATGCCTGTACATCCTATTTCTTTGATATGTAATGAAAGAGTGAAAGCATACCATGTTTGGTGGTAAAGGTCTTATGGAAGTACCACTGTGTCCACAGTTTCAATACAGGGATCACTGTCTATCTTAAAAAAAATCACAACAAACCAAAACAAAAAATCCCAAACCATCCCAAACCCAATAAAATCCTTAGGAGCATTCAGTGTGTGAGAACATGTACCTTTTCTGCTGCAGTCTTTTTTTTTTTTTTTTCCTCTTTTACACAACACATGCTGTGTATGTTAGATTCCAGCTAATTTGAGTGACATATTTGAAATGTTCAGAAACATGTGGAGGAGGAAGATAGACAGGTATTTGCAAACAGCTTTGTTAGTAGAGCTTAATATTTTACTGGTTGTCATCTGTGCTAGTGATTTGCATGTGTGTACCCAGCCCACACTAATTACAAAGTAAAAATCACTGGCTGAAATCACTGTGAAGATACATGTATTCTTCACACTTTTATGTGTATTCTCAGCTGTTAGTAAATCATACAGTGGAGTGCCTCTGTCTTGCTCAGCTCAAAATCACTGAGTATGGGATGGTGGCTTAGACATTGCTCAAGTTCTTCATATTTGGAGGTGGATTTACTTTTTCATTTGTGATTTTAATAAACTGGGCTGTTTTCAGAGATGGTAACAGAAACCTGGTGGACAAAAATTTTTTCAGCAAAAACCCTGCTTTCAGTCTTCAGAGTATCTGCTTCATTTGCCTCCGCTACCTTTGCCAGGCATGGCAGAGTATAGCAGCTTCTCAGCCTGGAGAAGAGAAGGCTCCAGGGAGACCTTGTAGCAGCCTTCCACTACCTGAAGGGAGCCTACAAGAAAGCCAGAGAGGGACTTTTTACAAGGGCATGTAGGGATAGGACAAGTGATAATGGCTTTAAACTAAAAGAGGGTAGATTTAGATTAGATACAAGGAAGAAATTCTTCGCTGTGAGGGTGGTGAGGCACTGGCAGAGGTTGCCCAGAGAAGCTGTGGCGAGTGGAAGGTGTCCCTACTCATGGCAGGGGGGTTGGAACTAGATGATCTTTAAGGTTCCTTCCAACCCAAACCATTCTATGATTCTTGCAGCTGGCTTCCTAATGCTTCAGGTCCAGGCTGTCATCCATGATTCAAGAAAAAGCAGCATCAAATAACTGTTCTGGCTTTCTTATCTGCTAACATGGTACTTGGCTAGATAGCCTGGTCTTTCATTCTTTGAAAAATAAAATGAACTTCTATGTTTTTAGGCAATCCCTGTCCAGCAGAGGTTAAAAGGCCACTTCGCCACAGGGGTTAGAAGCTTGCCTGTTTCAGCTGAATACTTGGTTGAAATCAACAAAATCTTGCTGGCCATGGCTGATGTTGAACTGATGCTGAATGCACCAGAGCTGAATACTGGCATTTATGAGGATTTTTCATCTCAGGAAGATGCACTGAAGGTACTGTATGCCTAAGCATTACATTCAGAGGGAACAACAGGAGAAGGGAATAGCAGAAGTTACTGTATAGCTGTATTTGTATTTTTGCTCAGTATATACTGAATCAATATGCACTGAAAATTAAATAATGAGACAGATTTGTGACTAATTTTTCTATTATGCAGAATCTGGATACAAAGTGGAGCAGCGTGGAAGCTGGGCAGGAGATTGGGGAAGAAGGGTTTGGCTTCTTTTGTTGGAGAAACTGTTGACTTTTTCATCAAGTAGTCTACATAATATGTAGAGAAACGCTAAAGCTAGTGTCCTTATGTTCCTGCTTGGTCTCCTTGATATAGCTGCTGTTCTCTACATCATGTGAAAACAATTGTTCACATGGGAAGAGGAAGAAAGGGAGACTCTTGACTTTTGCATGAAGCTATAGATGAGGCCACAAGACAACAGTGCCTGTTCTGATTAGCAAAGCATCAATATGTGCTCAATTTTAAGCTCCCACTTCTCCTCGTTGCCAGCCAGTGGATTTACCGTGTGATTAATGATGAGGAAGTAGTTAAGGATTTGCCATTCTTCAAAAGGGATGAAGAAAGTATGTTTGCAAATATTGAATCCTGCTGTCAAATTTAAATTATGCGTTTAGAAGTCTGAGTCCTGGCTAATTTTGAGCATGCAAAGGAGCACGATAGATTTCCACAGAAAACACCCATTGGAGTTGGGAATTGCACATGGTGTATGGTGAAGTGTACCTCCGTGCGTGGGGAAGCGTGGGGGGTCCATGTGTCCTTATATTTGAGGTAGTCAGGCTTTGCCTCTCACCTAGAGCTAGATCAGCTGTTTCTGCAGCTGTTATACAAGTCCTTTAAAAGCTTTTCAGAATTTCAGTCCACTTTTCCAACCCGCTTTTCTTTATGCTGTGTACATGCTTTCATTTTTTTGTATTTCTTTTTGGCATAGTTTTCAACAGCAAATAGGGGAATGATGCTTTGACAAAGCGGGTGATTCTTCTGTTTTGTTGATGAGATTCTCTTGTCCCTGTTTACTCTGCTTCTGTGCTCCCCTAAGTACAGTTAGGAGTGTTTATGTTAAGATGGGTTTAAAATACCTCATTTTGGTGCAAGTCTCTCATCTGATTTCAAAATTTTGGTATATTCTAAGGACGTTTTCAGAAGAAGCAAATAGCAGAGCACAGAATTTTTAGAAGTGTTGCTGTTTGAAATTCAGAAAGATAAGTAAATTTCACTGTTCGCTTGGACTGTTTGCTCTCTGAATACAAAGGCAGTCTTACAACAGCATCTGGTTTAAAGGTATTTTCACATCCTTGTTCAATGATTTTTGAGAGAGATTGTTTTAACTTTGTCATTTAAATCTAAAACTTTCATGTAGCTTGTGCTTTTGGAGTCTGTGCATATAAGAGGTTATGTGAAGCGTAATAAAGTCACGTTTTGTGGCTCATTTTTCACGTGAGGAAGGAATACATACAGTGGCTTCATGACAAGGGGCAGGTTTGTTTAATAATGAAGATGCTGCTGTTTAGAGAAGTATGGTATGCCACTTTACCTCAGGAACAGGTTGGATATATAAAACGCTTCGTCTTCATAAAAAAACTGAGGACACATGCTTAAAATGGTGTGACAGACTATTCAGTTCAGTTGCGAAAACTGATTTAATCTGAACTGATGGTCATGGTCTCACTGTAGGTACTGATTTTTGGAACAGTATTTTGTAGAGATTACTTTTTGGTGGTTTTTTTTTTTTCTTTCTTTTTAATTTCCTGCTCGTGTTGACTCTACTAATGGCTTGTGTCATTATTGTGCTTGCAGAACACAAAAGATATTTTGGATAAACTCGGGGATCAAATTGCAGTCGTACATGAGAAGCAGCCGGATGTTATATTAGAAGCATCTGGACCTGAGGCAATACAAATAGGAGATGCACTAACCCAGTTGAATGCGGAATGGGACAGAATTAATAGAATGTACAATGATCGTAAATGGTAAGTCAGGGTTTTTTTTGTTTCTGTGACCATGTGGTAAATATTTTATGTACTTGAATATAAGCATTTTACAAATGTTCTCTAATGATGAAGGTAAAGAGTTTGGGGGTAACCAGCTTTAGTTTGTTACTATTACACAAAAACTGTCAGAACTGTTGAGTGTTGAAAGAGTTCATCTGCAAATTGTAGTGTAGGTGCTTTTATGACGTTGATTGTTTTTACTTTATAAAACAGAATATTTTGTCTATAAACCATAAAATTTTTGTTTTGTAAAGGTATTGCAAAGCAAAGTTCTAGAAGGAAAATATTGAGTAGGGCGTCTTTTAATAAAGAATTCAAGGCTGCTTTTGAAGGAGGGAAGGAGTTTGAAAGGATGGGACCTTTAAAATACAGCACACGGTCTCCCATAACATCCTCCTAGGGAAGCTCAGGAAGTGTGGGCTGAATGAGTTGTCAGTGAGGTGGATTGAGAACTGGCTGAATGGCAGAACTCAGAGGGCTGTCGTCAGCGACTCTGAGTCTAGTTGAAGGCCGGTAACTAGTGGCATCCCCCAGGGGTCAGTACTGGGCCCAGTCTTGTTCAACTTCATCAACGACTTGGATGAAGAGTTAGAATGTGCCCTCAGCAAGTTTGCTGATGACACAAAACTGGGAGGTGTGGTAGATACACCAGAAGGCTGTGCTGCCATTCAGCGTGACCTGGACAGGCTGGAAAGTTGGGCAGAGAGGAACCTGATGAGGTTCAACAAGGCCAAGTGCAGGGTCCTGCACCTGGGGAGGAACAACCCCATGCATCAGTACATGCTTGGGGTGGACCTGCAGGAGAGCAGCTCTGCGGAGAGGGACCTGGGTGTCCTGGTGGACGACAGGTTAACCATGAGCCAGCAGTGTGCCCTGGCTGCCAAGAAAGCTAATGGGATCCTGGGATGCATTAGGAGGAGTGGGGCCGGCAGCCAGCAGGTCGAGGGAG